CTCTTGGTTGCGTATCTCCAGAGTTTCACATCATCAGCAAGAAGTAATAATTCAGACAACACCTGTTGTGGAGGATCGTTTATGCAAATCAAGAAAAGAAGTTATGGTACTGAACCGTCGGGGACCCCACTAGGACATTCCATAGCCTGAGATTAAGTGAAGTTAACTCTGACCTTAAAATGTCAATTTTTCAGATATGAAATGAGCCAATCAATTAGAGGTGGTCTGATACCCAGTCGTTTGAGCTTATTGATATATATATATATATATATATATATATATATATGGTTGACCCTATCAAAATCTTTTGAGAGACCAAGGTAAATGATATCAACCTTCCCCTTGCGATCAAGGATGTTTGTCCATCTGTCCACGGTAGTCAGCCGGTTGACTATCCAAGAGTAAGCATTCCTGAAACCATGCTGTTGGGGTGAGAGGAAATTTAAGGACGGTAAATAGTTATATATACCATGACATATCAGGGACTCCATGATTTTTGAAGGCATAGAGAGAAGAGCCACCGGTCGGTAACTTGAAGGTTCGCTGCGCCGACCTCCTTTGAAAATTGGTATGATGTGTGCCAACTTCCAAATTTCCGGTAGTTTGCCTCGGCTTAGCGAGTGTGAGAACATTATGCTAAGCGGTGTTGCCAGGATTGAAGCTGCTTCCCTCAGTATAGCAGAATGAACCATATCTGGGCCGGGAGAAATGTCTTTTCTTAGGTGCTGCAGTTTCCTGAACACCAAGTCAGCGCTCAGGTTCATTTCGGAAAGTCCTGTGCAGTTGAAGATGAAGCTGTCATCAGTATGGTTGATGTGGGTCAATTGGAATGTCCGAGAGTATCGTTCAGCCAAAAGGTTAGCGGCGTCGCTGTCGTTATTGGTCTGACCATTAGGGCCTAGCAGTTGGTAAACTCCAGTTTCGGCTTGTCGAAGAGAGGCTGCATAACAGAATAAGCTTTTCCGATTGAATACAAATTTACCCATAAACTTTATCTGGTACTGAAGCCTGTCTTCTCTTATAGCCTTCGTGCATTTGTTCCTTATATGTTTGTGATGCCTGTAGGCACCGCTGTTGTCAGTTCGTTTGTATTCTGCCCAAAAGGGCCTTTTGCGGCTTAGCAGGCGAAGAGTGCGATTCTTGAGGATTGTAGGTTGCTTGTGGATATTGGGGACAGTTTGAGGAACTGAATGCTTTGTAGCACATAAAAGCAAGTGCGGTAAGAAGTCCCAATAAGTATCCACATCGAGTTGAGGGTTAACACCCCAATCCACCTGTTTTATTCAGTTCTGTAGAGCTGACACATTCAACCGTTTGAAATTCCAGCGCCTATTGTTGGTGGGATATCTTAGCTCAGTTTTGCTGACAAAACTAAAGGTCATAACGGCGTGATCGCCTCTTCACTGGAGAGCCAGAATTGAGAGATTGACAACTGGTAATTCTTCGTTTGTAAATACTCAGTCTAAGCGCGACGGTGTCTGACTGTTTCTCCAACGAGTTGCCGACTTCACATTTTCGTATAATCGCAGATCCTCAACGCGGTTGAAGAACCGAGCCTCAGTTGAGTTTTCATCCCCAATATACGTATGTTCCGCGAAGTTGACTCTAGGGAGATTGAAGTCCCCTAGAATCAGGATATGAGTGAAACCGAGATGAGTAGAGCGGGATAGTCCTTCCAGCATACGACTGTCATACTCGATGTCAGCAGTGGGCTTCCTATATATGACTCCGACTAGGCACCTCGAAGTAGTAGACAGTCTTACGGAGCACCATACAGATTCATCAAGATTGTTAAACTCGAGGTTATGAACTTCGTATGCCTCCAAGAAAGATCGTATGTATACGGCTACTCCACCCCCAATGCCCCTTTTCTGTCGTTGCGAAACAAAGACATCCCAGGTATTAGTAGCCCCTGGTCCGAGAACTGAGATATCCAAGATTCAGATATTCCTATCAGATGAGCACTAGTAGCATTGTTAATTTCACGTAGCTCATCCATTTTGTTTGGTAAACTCACGGCGTTCATGTATAAGCAGTTTATGATTTCATTATGAAACGTGTGAGCTTCTTTCTGTTTGTCTGTATGAGCCTTACGTGAACAGACAGGTGGCCTACCTATATAAAGTTTGCCGAGTTGGTAGGCTTTGTCCTTTACACGTATTTTTTTATCAAGACAGATAGGATGGTCAGCTCTAACTTTCCTTTGGGCTTGATCCTGGCGTCATGTGGCCTATTCGGGCGCATGCGGATTCCAGTTGACAACAGACGTCTGTTGGCACAAAGTGCTTCCAGAGTTGCAGCCGCCATATGGAAGGATGGGAAAGTTATCCTCATTGGCCGGGGTTTACAATCACCGTCCTTTCTTGGTTAGTCTCGTCACATGTCGAGTCATTAGGTTTTTGAGCCTCGAGGACTTTTTGATGGATTTCCATTCCCTAATACCAGAGTTCGCTTGAATAGGGTCCCTGTTTTCCGATGCACCTTGCACAATGATATTTCATCCTCAGGATAACGTCTCGCGAGATTCTTTAGGGATGTTCCGGATGAGATTGCGCTCAGAATACGGTATGTCGAGCAGTATTCTTACGTTCCCATCGGATTCAGTAAATGACTAGCTAGCAAGACGTCCTTTACGTCTGTAGCATTCTTAAGTGTTACACGAAGTAGCCAAAGGCTCTATTCTAAGAAGTTCAAGCTTTTTGTTCAATTCTCCTCAGAGCATCCTGTCATTTTTGTTCTGCAAACTGAGAGGAAGGTCAGGGTTGTCTTTGAGGTTCATGATTATGAAAGAGTCCTCACGAACCGTTATTGTTTTCCAAGGTTTTCAGGTGTGTTCAGGTTCAGCACCTTATTGTTTGGAGGTCGAAGCACGTCTCTTAATCCCAGACCATTTTATGACCAGATGGACATTTCTGGGGGTAGACTGTGCGGTCAAATCACCAGTTGATTTCCGTACAATACTTGGGATGTTTAGCTTACACGATAACGCCTGGTCCTTTTTAGCTCTGCTAACGTGGGTCTAATCACCAACAGAGTTATTGGGAACCACTGTTGCATTCGAGGGCCCTGAGCTGAGAGACCCGAGTTCGCTGAAGGAGTCTATTACCGTCGACGTTATTGTGGTGCTGAGTTTCAGCATGTCATCGCTAGTGCTAATGCATGCTTCATCGATAGTAGACCTGTCAACATCCCTATTCTTGTTTTCGTTGCGCGCCCTTGTTTGTCCACACGTTTTATGACTGTCTTTTACCAAGTTTGCTGACAACTTATTCCGCAGACCTGTCAGTAAGAAAATGATGTTGCTCAGTAAAACTACAGCATCCGTGTCGCACGTTACACGTAATCACTTATGATCCGACTTGCTGAGTCTGTTGTAAGTAATTGCTGTGAGATCTGTGGACGCTTCATGGAACCAACCTTTGCAGTTGTCGCACTGCATCCCAGATATAACGACAAAACGGTGTCCAGGTCGTTTGCATGAATTTTCTATGACTGTGTTGAGGTAAACTGTATTATAGATGCTAGCAAAAGCCTAAGACCGTTAAAAATACGTTTAAAAGCACACTAAAACCGGGCAAAAATGGATAAAAACGGATGAGATAAACTGAACTAGCCTTTACGTGAAAAACTGAAAAAAAGAATAGTAAACTGAACTAAAACCACTGTTAATTATTATATTGGGTGAAACTCGAAAAAAGTGATCTACTGAACGTATAGCTCAGAATAGATTCATTAGATCAGAAATGGTACTTTTGCTGCGTAACAACACAGGAGAAGTTTGGGAAATGTAAGTAACGTTAGGACTAGGCTTCCCGTTCGAAAAGCGCGGCCAGCGTTTTCTTTTTGAAGCTGGGAGAGTTTAAGGTTGTCTGTTCCTTGGAAACTGTTCAAGGAAGTTATGCGAGACAAAGCGTCTGCAACAACACTTTTTGCCCAAGAAATGTGTCGCATATCTGAAATAAACTGTGAAATACAGTCCAGTTGTCGAGACTTTTGAGGGGAGTATTTGTCTGAAGATGAGCCTACAGAGAAGATGAAAGGTTTGTGATCGGTGGAAATAGTGAATTCTCGACATTCCATGGAATGTTGAAAGTACTGTTAACGACAATACATGACTAAAAGTTCCCTACCAAAGGTGCTATACCTCGGTTCAGTGTCTAGCAATCGACTCGAGAAGAATGCTAGGGTTTCCAGTTGTCATCTATCTATTGTTGTTCTGAATGTTGTCAGCAGTCATAGGAATTTGGATACATGCTTCAACCAAGTCGATTTTCGAGAAAAAGTTGTACCTTTCAAGGTAGCTGACAAACAGTGAATGTTCTGTAATGGGTAACGATCGAGATTAGTTTTGTATTCAGTCGCCGATAGTCACCAGTTGGACACCAACCTTCGCCGTTCTTTTTGGGGGCCATATAAAAGTACGATGCCCATGGGCAGTTCGATGACCGAATGACTCCATAGTCTATCATGTGGTGGGATACATTTTAAGCCAACATCAGCTTCTTTGGAACTAGTCGGCAAGCTGGTGGTCCTGTAGTCGTGATTGCTGGTTACGCACGCTGTTTTTGGTTACTTTAGGTATGGTTTTGGGTACTTGCTGATCATCCGCTGATAGTATGGGACGATTGCGTGCTCAACAATAATTGGGGACAATCTATAACCAGAAAAGTAAGCTGCACAAGCAGATGAATTAGTATTTTCGTCCACTAACCTCCGTTCGCGCGAGTCGCCCTCATTCAGAGTACAGAAAAATAGTATTCCTTCCTCACTCCAAAAGGATAAAGACACTCATGAATGTATCCAATGGCGAACCACAAAATCAATCAGGGGACTCATACAAGTCTGATGGAGAGCGCTTTCAACCACTGAACCATTACATATTAGAGTACAAGAATCTTAGAGGTAACCTAGTGACTTACAACATCCCAAACACTTTTGAGCACCCCCTTAGATACCTACTTAAGGTTGGTCCCAACACAAAGCTTAGGGGGTTACACTCAGAAACGGGTGACACGACACAGCAGAACGAACTATAGACACACCTCCCACTTCTTAAGAGTAATCAGATGTTAGAATTTGCTGCTGGCTGGGCCAGTTAGGGTGATTTTACAGGAGTCCTTTGAGAGAAAACTTGACATATTCCTAAGTACTAAGGATAGTATTTCACTGCGATTTATCAACTTATTTCTCTTTTTCCTCTATTACCGTTAATATAATTAGGTTCCTACCTGGAGGCATCGGTGATCCACTGCTAATTGATACGGAAGCCCGTTAACTGAAAGCTTCGATTATGTCCAGAACCATTTGGACCATTTTCATCTCAGTGCTCAGTTCAACTGTTACGTTACTTCTTGCGTGTTTACGGTAGTTTCACGTAACTAGGTATAAAGTCAAACCTTTCACCCAACGGGAGTGGATTTTTAGTGACATTGTGGTATAAAAAAATGAAGTTTAGTCCTAGTCTATGAGACAGAAACAACATGAAGCGAACGCAAAGGAATCAGTCGGTTTATATCAGCTCCTCACAAACAAATTGGATATACACGGCCTGATGGTAGTGTGCTCAATAATTCCTTAGCTTAGTGTGATATATTTGCTTTTTACACATGGTCTTGATGCAACTATGAGGCTACTTTCTGTTTTGAATACGAGAAATTCTGGGATTTAGACAATCGCAAAGTCACCTGGGAGTAATACGTCTTGTGTTTCTGTTGGCTTTGTGAATTTACTTTCTAGAGGCAGCCTAATAATATCAACTAGTTGGTCTGCATTCTCCTCAAATGCACTAATAATAGCTGTATTTCTTACTTTGTTCACAAATATCTAAAGAAAAGACATAAACACAAAATCAATGTCCTGCTATGGTTAGGCTTTTACAAAATAATACAGCTTACAACTAGTTGATTATATAGTAGTTGCCAAGTTCAGGTTTGCCTGGTCACCCAGTGATTATTGGATTCTAGTGAAAAAGTCACAATTTGGTTACCAGTCTAAGTGACATGATGTCTAAAATCAATTTTTAAAAAAAACAATAAGTTCACTTAAACTGAAATGTATCTTGCGATGAGCTCACACAAATATCATAGATTCTTCCGTATTAATCACTTTAAGTAGTGGTTTATCTATATAGATTTACATAACGTTTATATTCTTGAACTGATTGCAACTGAAAAATTATTAAAGAACACTACATCACAAAAATCATTAAATCATAGGAGTGCTGATGTATTGCTTAACGCGTTTGTCATAAATAGATTAATCGAACTACTGTTATCAGGACCTTCATATTTGGGAGTGTAGAACTTTTTCTGACAAGATCTAATTGATATTTCTACTAGTCATTTTAAGGATAGGTAACAAACTAAACATCAACCAATATGTTTATGTCCGCCATATAATAGTAATTTAAGTTGTATTTGTTTCTTTTAGATTGTTTTTGTGCTTTGATTCGAATCTCATGATCGTATTTGGAAATTCCCTTCGTGTCAGTCATCTTACTTTTCTTCCTAAACGTTTTCTGAGTATAAGTCAATTAAAAGAAAGAAGTCTTATATGCGTTCATGGCACATCAGCCGATGAGTTTCTACAAGGACTTATAACAAATGATATCAAATCTATAAATCAACCTAATTCATTCATGTATTCATTGTTTCTCAATTCGAAGGTATATTTCATTGAATTTCCTTCCTGTCAGATAGTTTTTTTCATTATATATTTTAGGGTAGAGTTCTAACTGATGCATTTATCTATCATACTAATCGTTTATCGACTAATCAGTCTGATTATCTTGTTGAAGTTGACGTCAGTTGCGTACCTGATATGGTTAAACACTTAAAGCAATATAATTTACGTGGGAAAGTACGTTTCACTTCAGTGTTATTTGCTATATTTCTCATCGCTTTAATGTGATTTAAAAATCGATTGCATGCATTTTTTGATCACTTTATTTGACGTAAGTATTTATGGCCAATTATAGTGTTTAATGGTGACTTAACAGTACTTATGATTTAGAAATATTACCCAAATAGCTTATGTTTAATTTTGATTCAGATCTTCTCTACCCTGATTATGTAGCTGATCACGTCACAATGGCTTAGTGGCTGGGAAGTTCGACTTTTTGTTACTGTCCCAGATTCAAACTCCGCCCCACCTACTTTGGTTTAAGCAACTAGGCAGTTTCATAACCCCTAACACTTAGTGAGTTATTAACTTCACTTACCTCGTGTGCCTAGCCAGACCTGATATAAAAGTAATGCTCAAAATCTATGAAAGTATAAAAATAAGCTCGTTTAGCCTTTGTTGGGTGATGCTACCTTCAGTACGAGTAAGATTCCTGTCTAATTGTCGTAGGGTGTGTGCTGTGCAGAGGTTTACTCTCTATTACTTAATGGCTGTGAAAAAATAGCCTTTGGAAGTAATAGATATGTGTAAGTTGCTAGTATTTGATGATAGAATGATTGTAGAATAAACGTAACTCGATTCTTAGTATACAAATATGTACTTCTAGTTTATCTAAATACCTTGTCCCACATGTTCATTTTCTTATTTACCGTCTTAAAGTTTATTAATGAGAACTATACATTCTGAGATACTAAGTTTCGACAGACATCGACCTTCTTTATTTGACCATTCAAATGTTTAACTGTTTATTTTTTCAAAAATCCATTTTTGTCTATTGTAAATAACATTTGTATAGGTTAAGATAGACGCCGATTTATCAGTGTATCCTTGGGTCGCTATGCCGACATCAAGACACTCGAATCAACTGAATAATTATAAAGCATGGTTACCAGTGAATTCACCTGATATTAGTGATCAACAACAGTTGATATTTTTCGCTTCAGATCCTAGGGGTATATCTGGTTGGTCTGGACGCATACTGTCAACATCTAGTACAAATGGTAATTATTTTGTTTAGATTTTATTAAAGATTAGGTTTAATGTTTTCGAATTTTTGTTGAATAGTTTTTCAGCATTTTAGAAAAAACTGTATACACATAACTACAAAAATGAATGGCCATATAAACTGACCTAGGCATCTTTAACTTTGAACGACAGCAACAATTGATTTGATTGACTTACCGATTTGCATTTATACTAGACGTGGTCATAATTTTATTTGTCATTATGTCTTGTTATTTATGGTCATGTAATGAGCTGGACTTTATCATGACCATGTTGTATCATTGCTAAAAAAACATTTATTTTTGATTGATTACATCGAACATCGTCGGTGATTTATTATCCCAATGAATATAAACATGTGGCTGTTAGAAGATTCTAATGTTGAGTCGGCTGTTTTTTTAACCAAATAGAGACTTGATGTGCGAAATTTTACCAGAATTTGTTACTAGACGATGTGGCATGCAGGGATATTGTAAATAAGGAGATTCTGACTTTCATTCAAAAGTTGCTGTTATTGTGCTTCGCATATCTCTAAGTAAATTTTTTTTCGTTTCGATATGCTGCCTAGAAAAAGTATTTCTGATCTTGAGTGTGAAGACGACACTGTTTTGGCATAGTGAACCACCTGCTTCGGTTTGGTCACCCGGGCAGTATCATAGCCCTCACACAAATCGAATAATTTGTGTGGCGCATACATATTTAGTGCCTTCTTGTACCAATGTCTGTATGTTTAAATCAATAATGTGGTAAACTGAGTATCGAGGTGCGAAATCCATTAGAATCATTTGCTTGTGTACTCCCTTTCTGATAGCTTGTTCGAAGTGTTTGCTAAATTTGTGTAACTAGTATCGCTAGTGGCAGGTATTTGCTACAGTGATATTCAATTGCAATCAACGTTAATCTTAGGACAATTTAGACGGCATAGATACGTAGGTTTAGCTTGAGCTTAAGTAATGTCGAAACTAAGGTCTGGTAGTCCATTCAGGGACAGCGATGATCAACTGGCGGCATCGAAACGCTCTTGTCGTGTCACTGTAGCATCTTTTAAACCAAATATTGGGTTCGGACGTTGGGACATGGATATAAATGAAGTAGTGGTTTGTTTTCGGCATGATGCGTGAAGCAAAGAAGGGTTTGTAACTCACTAAAGTAGATGATATATGTTGAATTTTTGGGGCCCTACTTGAGTTAGACGGGAATAGTGTGACCAATAGCTAACTTCCAAGTCACATCTCGTGTTCAGCAATTAACGTGGTTTACCCCTTCGTCGTATCAAGGTACTATTGCTGCTTTGAAGGCCGTATAACACAAAGGACGTGATTATAGAAGTATATTAGTTAGAGTAAGTACAAGCAAAAGTGTGACCGCCACCGCCACGCCAGTCCATGGTGTACGATTGATTAATGCGCGTTGGTTATCGTTATCTTCGACCCTAAAGATAGTCGATGAACCGTTCGAAATTGAGTGACATAACTGTCGGATGGTTTGGCTAGGGCTCAGTGACATTTTACTGGCACTACAGGTTGTTTTGGATTTGGATTAGGTAGTCAATTGCAGTATCTCAGATGAATTCCAAGTGATCGAGCAGTTCAGTAGTCTTACAAGCTCTAAGTGGTTATTCAAAATCGAAACCGTTTGCAATTTCGTTCATTTCTTGATGCCGTATCCTATCGAATTTCTTTATCTTAAAGAAACATTAAAATGTCATATCTGTTGGTGGTTTCGAATTGACCAGGATTTTATTTTCTAAATTAAATAGATGGTCAACTAATAAAGCATAGTACAAATTATTAATTTTAATCCAAATGTGTGACTTCAGTTCCTTTGTTCTCCAGCTCTTTTCCATTGTCATTCCATTTCTTTTTCCTTATCACAAGTCACTAGTATTTTCCCATCATGCAATACACAACCACTTGATATAAACCTGTATCATAATGCACGTTGGGAATTGGGCTTACCAGAAGGTATTAAGGAATTAATTACAAGTGATACACTACCGTTCGAAGCGAATGCTGATTTATCCGGTGGAGTTAGCTTTTCCAAAGGATGTTATATTGGTCAGGAGTTGACGGCACGAACACACTTTACTGGAGTCACTCGACGAAGATATGTACCGATTAAAATAGTGTCGAAGGGGAATATTGATGTTTTAAAAACATCAAGTAGTGTCAGGTGAGTTTAAACTTATCTATTTCGATATTGCACTGCCTATATTTCTTGATCTCAATACAATTACAGTTTTTAAGATGCGTTTGGTTGTCCATAAAAACCACAACCTCTCAGAATGATGACACAGTCAACTCACATGTTAGACCTGATATTGTTTTTGCTAATAAGACAGTAAACGTCAAATGTTCGTAGTGTCATCTCGTGTTTCCTTGATAAAGTTTCCTCGTCTACCTTAGTTGAGGGGTATACTTTTTGTATTTGGATAAGCAGAGATTGTTATTAAAAAGTTTGTTAGTTATTTGACACAATTTCATCAGTTTTGTCAGGTTAAACTCACTAATCTATTATGTTCCCAAATTTACTGATAAATAGTGGCCAGCAGTGAAATCCAGGACTCGCGTTTCGTCCTATTTTGGACTCGTCAACTGAATGTACATGCACCTTAGAATTGATGTTTACTCTGAGACTCGAACCTAGTACCTTTCGCTTCAAACACTATCGCGTTGTCCACTTAGCTACTGAGTCCTAATAACCACCTGCTTGTGCAATGGTGTGAAGTTTTAAATCCACTTGATATTGTTTACTTGTATCCTCCCATTGTTATTTAAGACTGTAATTGGGCAGTCCCTTGTTGATATATGTGAGTGAACATCAACTCTGAGATGCAGGTACATCCAGCTAACAAGTTCCAAATAGGACGAAACGCGCGTCAAACTGGATTGCACTGCTAGCTACTATCCATCTTTGCTTATAAAGCTTGTGACCTAAGGAAATATTGAGGCAGTCCGCACAGGATGCACATATGCCAATAAGAAACTGATCAATTGCAGTCCTAAATAATAATGGGAAGATACAAGTAAAACAACACCAAGTGAATCTATAGATTATAAGTTTAAAGCCAGTTAGCTACAGGGTTTTTAGAGTAATTCTTGTGTGGAACGTTTTGCCCATACTTTAGACGTCATCCGTTTCAGTATAATTTCTTGGGACAAGTTCCTATGTGAAAAGTTTCACATACTAGTCACTGTCATCAGTTCTGCCATCTGGACGTCTTTGACCAAAGTATTCTATAGCACCGACCTTAGACGTTTAAGCTAATCGGAAAACATTGGTAACAATTTGTAGTACAAAAATTACATGGAGCAACGTAAGGAGATGCATTGCCATGGTAGCCGGTGACCAACAATTGGTTCATAGGCCATTTGTTCCTTCAAAATACTGGAGACCATGTGCACCATTGGTTTGGAACCGGGGTTTTCCAACTCCCCTAGGTGGACTCTCCATGTCTACCAACCTGGTTAAAGCGCCGGATATTCGCTTTTCATCTTCTCATTTTCGTAAACAACACCCCCCTCCACAAGAAAACAGTGAATAGGACTTCCCTGGTAGAGGCTATATACGCATGACCATATGAGAGCATTTGGAGAGGCAGAGCGGACTCTCCGTACTCAAAGCCGTACCAGGGCATTCACTTATATATCTACCACATACACTACAATATCAATTGGTGATAAAAAGTTATACTCTACACTTAATTTTATAATGATGAATATACACATACATAAAAGAATGATTCATTTTCAACTTTTTCTTTCTTTCTTTCTTTCTTTCTTTTCATTGAAAATATTTCTATAGTGATTTATACAATGCACCAATTTATCAAATGGATAAAAATGATCAAACATATGAATTATCCAAATTAAAATTAATTGGATGGATTCGAAATGTAAATATGAATAAATTTATTATGATAAATAATAATGATCATAATGAGAATGATTTCAATATTGATAATGAATTAATTAGTGGTATAGCATTGATACGTTTAACTGATATCAATGAACAACAATATAAACTAGTAGTAAATATCCCGATTCATACTGATTGTGATCATCATCATCATCATCATCATAATACTACTAATAATGCAATACAATTAGATATTATTCCATATATACCATCATGGTGGCCTGAGAATATAGCGCCAACAATTAAACGAATTACATGTACATAAATCAGTTGTGTTTTCCTATTCCATTAGATGTTATATAATCTTATTTAAAGAAAACAAACAACCAAACAAACTATACTATGATGTTTTTGTTTCATTAATCATTAGTGGTGGTAAGAAATTGGCGGGAGTAACTATGACTCTCTTAAGGTAGCCAAATGCCTCGTCATCTAATGAGGAGTTATTTAGTTGCTTTTAGGGGGTTGTAGTTGCAGGGTAGCTACCTCTTCGTGGTTCCCGCTGGTAACGTGGCGGCAATTTGCTGCTACGGCTAAATGTTACCTTGAGAGCTGGCTGAACGTCTTTAGGCCTGCTTTCTAAATGGCATGCACCTGGCTTCGTGCTGGACTGTATGTACCCTGGCCTGTGGGTATTACTCTGGGCTCCAGTGGTGGTAAGAAATTAGTTGACTAATAATGATTGATTATTTAAAGTGAGATTATAATTTCTGAATGAATGAATTAGATATAAGATAATAGGTCTTGGATTTTGACGTGAAATTCATTCATTCATCTGACCAAATAGAGGCATTCTAACTGATATTAGTTCGTGATGAAAACTCTAAATTGAATTCCTAATCTTAACCATCAACTGTAAATCATAATTCGAATTCCTTACACTGGTTTATAATCCTCATTTGGTTCTGGTTATTAGGTGAACACTCCCAAGGTCAGTTTAGCGTCATTCATAGGTCGTCCATAAATTATAGTCTCATTGATCATTTTCATGTTTGTTGTAACATTACTCACCAGAATGAAAGGTATCACCAATAGGAGAAATTCGTTATCTTTGAATTAAGGTGCCTGTTTTTGTAATTATTGTTACTGGTTAGATCTTGAAATAAATATTAGGCTCAAGTTGACATACTTTACTTGACATCGACTGTGAACTAATATAGTATGCCTGTAGTGAACGAGAAGATAAGTGTGGACAATCGAATATACGAGAACACAACATTACATCACATCTTAGTAAAATCTGAGAACTATACAGTGAATACATACATACTCCACCATCTCGTCTACCAACATGGCTCAGACTAGAAGTTAGTGACTCGAAGGACTGATGCGACGTTTTGGTTCGACCGCCCCTAACTTTCTTCCAACTATCCCTAACACTGGTCAGTATTGCGCGTCGTGATAATCGGTGTTCAAGCATACGTAACACGTGGTCCAACCATCTCAGTTGATGAATATTTACAACCTCATCAACTGATTTACCATCATTCCCTAATACCATGTGTCTTACCTCACTATTACTTACGCGGTGATTCCGTGAGATGCGAGTAATATTTCTGAGACATCTGTGATCAATTACTAGTAGCTTGCGAGTATCTCCCCTTCTTAATGGCCATTTTTCGCAACTGTAAAGTAGAGCAGAACAAACTGCTGCTCAGTATACTCATCTTTTTATTGATAGATCGATATCTCGCGGATTCCATAGTGTAAAGTGCGTTAAAATTCAGGATGCTTTTAAAATAAATGACTTATATATAATCCAAATAAATAATGGTTTCTTGATCATCAAAATGTACATTTCAATAATAAAATTTTTATTATGTTTTGGGATTTAGTCACACTTGTTCTAAATGGTACAATAATCTGGATATCTGTGATCCATTGAGTAAAATGAGATTAAAACTTATAGTGTAAAGCTTGTGAATTAAGTGCTGAAATCGTTGATTAATTTCACTATAGTCAATCACTTCGATTAACGTAGAGTTTGACGCAATTATTCGTTGGCGCATATCGTCATACATACCACATTAGTATGAAGAGATGAATGTAATAAAAATCAATAACAGAAAAGAGATCAAAATAATAATTTAGGAGATTAAAAATTGGGAGTATGTTCGAAAAACAACATTAAAGTACATATGAAGGAGTAATAGAATTCATGATTGAGAGGAAGATCAAGGGTGATAACAGTATAAATATGTAGAATACACTATGATTTCTAAAATTTACAAAGTTAAATTGAACTTTGAAGAAGAAATTTTATGAGAAGTTCATGTCAAGGTCTTAAAAATATAAGCTATATTGCTTAGCAGAGCTGAAGGTCTCATATGAGTTTGGAGGTTCGATATTGATATTGTGGATGGTTCGGCATTACTTTGGCAAGTTTTGCTAACTGTTCATGCACAAAACCGGTTTTCTGGTTAGCCGATTTCATTCATACTGGTGGTTGCTTTTCAGGGTTTTCAAGTGCCATTGTCATTGGAACATTGTAAGACATGTCGCCATTGCTAACATGAATGAGTTTGACTGTCGTGTAAAAACGGAATAGGTCAACTTGGCCTGTTCGTGATGTGCATAATTGATTCACACGATCATTGATAGGAATAACTATACATGTGATGTGAATGTGTATACAAATGGTCCATCAGAGTGCTTGGTACCTGTGTCGTTGCGCCCCAGGATTAAACTGTACTATTCAGATTGTAGCGTTAAAGCCTATACGGTGTCTGGTTCTCCGGGATTGAGCTGTACTGTTGAGGTTGTCACGTGAAAGTCCGTATGGTGTTCGGTTCTCCTGGAAACCAATGTAAAATTACCCTGGCTCACAACGGCATATTATATATAACTAACTCTTAAGAAATGTGTTTGTAAATTGCAGTACAATGAAACTAGTGTTTGAAGTTGAAAGAAATCGATTCGAGGTAGAAATGCAAATCAAGAGACTTTTAATTTACCTGTCTGTTATTCTGCCAACTAACCTTAGTACTTGTTTAATACAATTTATATTGAGATGATCAAACTAAGTAACTATTGTGGTTAGTTGAGTATTCTTCATTAATATAACAAAACACTCAGTGATCAAGGTAGAATTCGAACTCAGTTGCTAATCTAACTTTGAGTGTCATTCAATAGAAAGCCTTGTTTGCAACCCGTAACTGCTATTATGGTCTTATATCTCAGCTTCCTTCCTAACTTAATTCAATAACCTATATCAATAAAGGGTCTTACTGATCCAAGGTATTACGAAATCCCACTAATTGTTTATATGTAATTTAAAGTTCTCCGTATATTTATAAATATTTTATTTTGCTGAAAATGATGCGTTACCTGTTACTTATATGACAATAGGTTTCACTTAAATCGACAGTTTTCATCGACCGAATGTGTTTAGATTTAATACAAACTTCCTTATATGAATAAGGATATATTCACAGAAGAATATTAACCAGGTAATGGTCCTTTTATTGTCCGATTTGAGCTTATCAATAGGTCCCTGCTTTCTTATCAACCCTGTCTTTTATTACTAGGTGGACAAGAGAGTAAAAAAATTCTGTATGTGAAGAAGGTAACCTGTTAATTTTGTCCTAGTGTGATCTGCCGTCTAACAAACTTAGGAACAGACAGTTGTTTTATTCGAAGAAGTAGGTTGTCCGATTGAAACTTGAATTTGACATTTTCAATATGATGACGATAAGCTTATAAGGTCACATTAGTCCGTTTCTATGAAACGCTCTAAATGTTGTTCTAGTCACACTGACAATGTACTAGTGAAACGTGTTGAACTAAACGAAGTGCTTTCAATTAGTTATATACCATTCAGCGGTCGATAAGAAGTTAGTCTATCTTTGTTGTCTGGTCGTCAACTATACATATCAATAATGGATTGGGGTGATACAAGTTATTACAATTAGTCCTACTATAGGTCTTTACGTTTTCCAAAAAAAAACACTTATTGCATATTAGATGGTGGTTGGAGGTAGTCAACAGGAAACCCTGGACGCGGGTTTCGTGCTACTTGGCACTCGTCAGCAAGGTGTACCTGTAATCTTGAGGGAACTGGTGCTCCCTGGCGGATTCGATCTCGTGTCACCCAGCTTCACAGTCAGAGACGTTACCACTGAGCTATCCGAGCCGTGACTAACCTCCTGTAGGACTGAGATGTAATCACAATTGATTGATCACTGGGTGGTGATCAATCTCATGCTTGTCTAGTCCTTATTATTAGTGCAGATCGAATGCTATCGATCATGTTGCAATGTGGCCACCAGTCTAGGTGACTCGACACTGCGGGCACTATGTATTGAGATTAGATGGTGGTTGGAGGTAGTCAACAGGAAACCCTGGACCCGGGTTTCGTGCTACTTGGCACTCGTCAGCATATACGAATATTCCATTTTTCTGTCAGTGACAACAGTACTCAATACATTTCTAAATGATTAGAAGACAACGCAATATTCTCTAATCTGTTTACAACTCGCATATCTAACAATAGAATTCGAAAGAAGTATTTCTTCTTCTTCTTCTTTGTGGACATTATTCACATAGGAATAGATCGTTGTCAATATAGGGCCTATAACCTGTAACATTCATCGTTCCATTATCAATATTAATACATAAGGTAAAACAACTGGGTTTATATGGTATCAATCATAACTATATAAACAATACTCTCTTTTTTCTTTCTTTTTTAAATAATCAAATGAAAACGATATCTTTATAAATGTAAAATATGATACAATACAATGTGTAATTCATATGAATCAATGTTTGTTTTAACCTATTGACATATTACATAGAAGATTGTATAATTATTATGAATTTGATAATATATTTGAAAGATTATGATGTTTAACTTGCCTGTTCATTTGATGTATTTGTATTGTACTTGTAATCTGTAGATAAAGTTTAATAATGAAAGAAAGAAGCATTGAGATATTGAGAAATACAAGGAATATACATATACAATATAATATACATACTTATGCATTATGTGATATAAACCATTCAACATTCTAAACACATTTGTTTAGTTTTTGATGGATTTTTGTTCTCTGAGCCGGATGGTTTGGTCGTGGAGCTTTCATCGTTCTTCTGAACGACAACATCAGCACAAACTTCAGATAGAAGTGAAGTGTTCGAATTTCTCCATATGCGTTTCACAGCTTGTTCTGTACACCTCGATGTTGATTGGTTCTTATTGACCTCAAATTTGTCATTGTTTACGGATCAAATTCTCAACTACAATAGCAACAACCCAAGAGCTCACAAAGTCAACTGCGTACACACTTTGTTCAAGAGGGCGATGACACACTGCTGCACACTGGCAGCTCGAAAAAATGAAGAGCAATACCTGAAGGACGTATTTCAAAAGAACGGCTACTCAATCAACTTCGTCAAAAAATGCCAACCGCGCGCAGCATCAGAACCCAAGTCAAGCACAGAAATCAACAAAAGGATCGCCCTACCATACATAAAAGGCATGTCAGAACTGCAACGAGACTGCTGAAAACCTTCGGGATAGGTGTGGCACACAAACTGACAAAATCACTACAATCAATCCTATGCAAACCAAAGGATGAAATAACAAAGGAAAACAAATCAAACATCATCTACAAAATAAATTGTGCCAACTGCGAAAAACACTACATCGGACAAAGCGGACGCCCCCCTCACCTTCGCCTATATGAACATCAATTAGCAGTCAAACGCCATGATATCTCATCACTTATATCAATACACGTGGACAACTGTGAACACTCATTCCATAGGAAAAATTTAAAAATCCTAGACAGAAGAAATTCCAAAAACACCAGAGAATTTTTAGAAGCCTGGCACTCAGGTCAATCAACAAGCATATTGAAATCAATCCAATTTATCAACCAATCAGGAAAATCATGCACAAATATAGGAAAAGAAATCAAACCGATTGGAGACACAACTGAAACAAAGAAGTAAACAATGACAAATTTGAGGTCAATAAGAACCAATCAACATCAAGGTGTACAGAACAAGCTGTGAAGCACATATGGAGAAATCTGAACACTTCACTTCTATCTGAAGTTTGTGCTGATGATGTCGTTCAGAAGAACGATGAAAGCTCCACGACCAAACCATCCGGCTCAGAGAACAAAAATCCATCAAAATCACCCACCTGAGCTACAAATCTTCTTCATCATCACATTTGTTCAGTACAACTGGGATTTTAAATGATATTGTAATGAACGAGAACACAAGTGGGGAACAATCGAATATATTTGAATATAAAATTACAAAATCTCTTACTAGAATCTGTCAATCATAGAGCAAAATGTTAATCAATCGTTTTAGACTTGATTGTTCTTTCGTTTCCGCACTAACCATTCTTTGTTATCGTTCTCTTTTTTTAATTTTAATCTTCTGCCACCAGGTATTTCACTTTGGATTGACGATACATACTACATACATCTGTCAACATTAGTAGCACACACCACAGCATGATGAATTTTCCGAACTACCTATTTGTAACTAGTTTAATCTGACGTTTCTTATCCATTTAAAATAATAGGTTACTTGTGTATTTTGTTTTAGTAAAAATTTCAGTTAACCTATTTTCATATTTTGCCTTATCAATAATAACAAATGTAGATATTATAATCAAGGATGGATAGTGGTTAGCAGTGGAATCTAGTTTGACGCGCGTTTCGTCCTATTTGGGACTCGTCGGCCGGATGTACCTGTATCTGAGGATTAAGTAACTACGTGGATAACGCGATGGCATTTGAAGAGAACGGTAATAGGTTCAAGTTCGTAAGTGAACATCAACTCTGAGATGCAGGTACGTCTAGCTGATGAGTCTCATGTCGGACGAAACGCGTGTCAAACTGGATTTCACTGCTAGTCACTATACATCTTTGCTTACAAAGCTTGTGACCTAAGGAAATATCGAGGCAATCCGCACAGGATGCACATATACCAATAAGAGACTGATCAATTGCAGTCTTCAACATCGATCGGAAGATTCAAGTTAACAACAACAATTGAATTTGAGTTTAATATACCTTCACATCATAAATGATTTACATAGAAATCGTTAATTTGATTATCACTAAGAACTCATTTATTTGTTTGAGCACATAAATATAGGTACAAAGGGGAACCGAATACATATGCGTCACACAAGTCACTTGATTTATGTGTGGGCTGTGATACTGCCCAGGCCGAAGCAGTTGATTTTCTTAGGGGGCGATATCCGAAACCTTCAACTTAAAGGTCTGATCCACAAGGCAGTGGAGCAAAATCAGGAGATGCAGTCCCATGTTAGTGGGTGATCAGTAATTGGTTCATACTCTATTTGTTCCTTCAATATCCTGGAGCCCGTGTAAACCATTTGTTTGGAATGAGGGTTTTCCGTCTCCCCTAGATGTATCCTCCATATCCACTAACCCGGGTAAATACCAGACATTCGCTTTTCGTTCTCACAATCTCGTAAATATAATACTTCAAATAAGTATGATTTGATATCAATTAATGACAAATATGATCTACAAATTAAAATAATCTCTACAAAACCTCTTCATCTAAAACTATGACAGCCAATTTTATTATTGATTTATTTCGATATGAGTTCATGAAGTTCCAATGGGAAGTCATGACTAATGGAGTTCAGATATTCTGGAACGAAAGTCTTTTCATTAATTGATTGTTATACTATATCGTGAATTAATTGAAGTTTGAAATGTGTATGTGTATGGATGCCAACGCAGTCGGGGTAATTGAATGTATTTAAACACAAACTTACAGAACATCTTACTAAAATCTTAGAACCATATCAATCAATTGTCTCAAGCTTGACTGTTCCTTTTGCAAATATCGGTCTGTCATCTCAGATTTCATTGTTCCTGCATTTGTAGACCAATTACTTTCCTTTTCCCGTTCTTTCCTTCTCGATCTTCTAATAAAATGTATTCCATTCCTGATTATTGTTATATACTACTTACACTCACACACACACATACCACATTTCTAACGTTTAAGTATTTGTTTTAAAAACCTGAAAATTCTACGTTCTATCACTGGTTGTATCATGAATGAAAATTGTTACAAAATTTCATAACGGAATCCATGATTTCCAATGATAACCTAAGGTCAGTTCATAATAAATATCACTCATATATATGCATGTACGTTACTTAATGATCATGGTGGAATATTTTGTAAAAGACTACATGGTTTACTGAAAGTCACTGAATTTAACCTAGTTGAAATCTGTAATATTCCATTGAATTTAATGCTTAGGTGGTTAATCTCATGAATAATTATGGTGTTTGAATGAACTAATGATTCCATTGTACTTGTTGAATGTTCGATTTCGAATTCTAAATACAGTGCATTCATTTGTGCTTATGAAGTACATCTTGATCCAATTACGTTATTTCTGGAATTCTTAGTTTATACTATAATTCAAATACTCCTAATTATCACATTGGCGTCGCGATGGAGCCTGTGATGGAATTGTTGGACATACACTCAGATTTTGATGCTTTTGAGGATTACTTTGAAAGGCTCGAACTCTGGGTTATGACCAAGGAAGATGATGAGGATGTTAATATTGTAGCACATTTCCTCAAATTCATCGGAAAAGAAGCATATAGCTCATTAAAAACTCTGGCTTTACCATATAAGCCTATTTCACTTCCGTAAACAACTCTCATGTACTACTGATAGACTATGTTAAGTATACAAATTTCAAATGTGGTAAAGGAGGAAGATTTCGTAAAATGATTCATGAGGATATAAAAAATTCCACTGCATTACATCATCCCAACCCAGTGCATACTCAAGGTTATGCAGATAATTCATTGACGAGTTGCGATGCAGTTCACGAAGATGGGCATAAGTTTGGTCAATGTTTGTCCTGTGGTAGGTTCCACGCTTTTAATTCATGTAAATTTCGTAATTCGGAGTGCTTTAAATGTGGTGATATTGGACATATTCCGTCAGTTTGTAATATTACTGTTCATCTTGCTGCAACGAATATTAAGTCTTGTAATTCTGATTCTATTAAGTCCAGTGTTCCTAATGATCATTTATCTTTATCAACGATTTCAAAAGACAGTGTAGAGTTATATAGCAGTTCAGAGTTAAATGAAACTCAGAATTCTTGCGGGACAACAGTTTCTAATCAATCAACTTATCAAATTTCTCATGTTATTGTACCAAATATAGTTTTTCCTAATGATTCACTTATTTCTGGCGAAATCCCTTACAAATCTGAGGAAAATATGTTGAATGAATCAAGTCGTGATCGAAAACCTGATGTAGTTTTGATAGATGCTGATTTTTCTAATGATCCTCTACTCTGCAATGACATTCTTAGTAAATTCGAGGAAACTATTTCAGAAGAGTCAAATCTTGATGTCATACCAAATATTATTTGTCTTCATAATGCATTTGTTTCTTGTGGGAAACTTGTTCAATGCGAAGCAAAAGTACTAAATTAAGCTCGATTTTGATTACAATTTGGATGATTTCATATCATCTGCTGTTTTCCCTTATCATGAAGTCACTTCTAATGTTTACTCTAGTCAATGTGAGAAATATGTTTTAAATGAAGCCACATCATTCCTAAATTGGGAATATAAAGATCCAACATTATTTCGTGAGGGAGGATAGTCTAAAAGTCTATAGTTCAAATTCTAGGTAGCAGCGGTTTTAGTACACAACTGACATACTGATTACACAATCCCAGGAAGCAGGTGAATCTGTCCCGATTTCGGTTGTTAATTCTAATACTAATGAGTGTATTCTAGATAATACAGAGTTTTTATCCAATACAATGTCGGACAGACACAGGATGAACTTAAGAAGAAGATGTACAATTGATTACAGACACCTAGACTCCAATTTAAGCCATGGCGGATGTGGTGTTTGAATGAACTAATGATTTCTTTGTACTTATTGAATGCTTGATTTCGAATTCTAAATACAGTACATTTGTTTGTGCTTATCTAGTACTTCTTGATCCGATCACCTTATTCCTGGGATTCCTGGTTCATACTATAATTCAAATACTTCTAATTATCACAATAATTTCTCAAGATTCTAATAAGATAAAAAATTAATCACAACAATAACTTACCAGGCATAATAACATCATCCAGTTTATGTATATTCTCTAAATGTCTATTCTCATTTAAATTGGATTGATTCTTTGTTATCATAGTAATTAATACTTCAGCTGCACGACTTTTTCTATTCAATCTACCAGAAGATAACATATTATCAATAATAGATATACGATTTCTTATTATATCATTATTATTATTATTACTATCTGATTGAATCAATTTATTCTTAGATTCATATTTATCAATGTTACTATTATGATCATCATTGTTATCATTCAAGATCAATTCATCTTTATATTTAGAATGATTATCATTTTGATCTGAATTCATATTATTGACTAAATTACATAATGTAGATATGTTGTTGTTATTTGATTCTTGTGAATTCATATTCGTTAATGATGAACTATATATCGGTGAACTTGGAGTTGATGATGAAATGGTTATATTATCTAAGACTGAAGTGATTTCTTGTTGTGATTTACTTAAATCATCCATTTTTTCTATATCTTGGATTGTATTTGTTAATTTATTAATAGATGATTGATTTATTGTTTTAATATTGATTATTGTTTGATTATAATCTTTAGAATTTAGTTTTATACGTGACATAATACCTTCTAAACGTTTTTTACGTGCTTCACGTTCAGCTAATTCAGCTGATAATGAAATAACTAATCTTCCAGGTTGAGATAAATTAGTCGAATTAAATGGATGTACAACTTGAATAGGTTTTTCTCGAATATTCATCAAATTTGATTGACAGTTGTTCTATTATGTAAAAGAAATATTAAAAGGATACTTCAATTATCATGTATGGAAGGAATATCACTAGATTTACTTGTCAACTGATGGAGCGCCCCCAAATGCTCTGGTACGGCCGAGAGTGAGGAGAGTCCGCTCTGCCTCTCCAAATGCTCTCATATGGCCACGTGTATATAGCCTCTACCAGGGAAGTCCTACTCACTGCCTTCTCGTGGCGGGGGTGTTGATTACGAAAATGAAAGGACAAAAATCGAATTTCCGGCTCTTTAACCGGGTTGGTGGACATGGAGAGTCCACCTAGGGGAGTTGCAAAACCCTGGTTTCAAACCAATGGTGCACATGGGCTCTAGTATCCTAAAGGAACAAATGGCGTATGAAACAATTGTTGGTCACCGGCTACCATGGCAATACATCTCCTTACGATGCTACATTGCCTAGTGGATCAGACCTTCAGGTCGAAGGCTCCGGGTGTAGCCCCCTAAGAAAACCACCTGCTTCGGTTTTGGCACCCGGGCAGTATCACAGCCCTCAGACACATCAAATGAGATTTGTGTGGCGCATATGTATTTGTTGCCTCATTGTACCAATATCTATATGTTAAAATAAATAAATAAATAAATACAACTGATGGGTTCTAAACTAATTCACAATTCAAGCGGTTTTAAATGTCTAATGATATACTTCACCTACACTACTGATATTATTACAAATGGTATATTGTGTGAAGATTCAGTGGTGAGACTATAATTTATGGACGACCTTTGAGCGACGCTAAAGTGAACTAATAACTAGGACCAAATGAAGGTTATAAACCAGTGTAAGGAATTCGAATTATGATTTACAGTTGATAGTTAAGGTTAGGAATTCAATTTAGAGTTTTCATCACGAATTGATATCAGATATAATGCCAAAACTCTATTTAACCAAATGGATGAATGAATTTTACGCCAAAATCCGAGACCTGTTATCTTATACCTGATTGGTTTGTCCATAAATTATAGTCTCGCCGATTCAGTATTCTTGTAAAACTTCACATTATTCAATGTTGTATGACAAATGGTTTCGTGTTCAATGTAAGGTTTGAACAAACTTGGTTATTTGGAATCGATCTGCTCAACCTGTTACGTAACACTAACGAACGGACAAACAGATCCAAATAAGCTTGGCTACTTATTACTAAAATAAGTATTGGATGGGACATTTAGTGTTAGCGTAAAACCAAGTTTTAAAGGATTACATGTTTTTGGAGACAGTGATAGTTCAGAATATCGTTGTGTTGATCGATTACTTTCTTATATTCAAGTTATTGAAACAATATTGAAAATGCCGTTAGATTCTAATAAAAAAATACTGCAATTTATTTGTTGCTAAGTTGAAAAAAATCATTGTCGATATAACTGTGGAAACTGAAAAAACTGAAGATTCATATATTAAGCAGGTTGTAAATATTATCAACAACAGGGTTACTTACTAGAATGGAGTAGAATGGAATTTATCTCATTCATTCAGTCAGTCAACCTGATCGCTAAAATTAGACCACCATACTTAAAGACCTCTGGAGCCAATCCGTCTGGACCAGCTGCCCTTCCTCGTTTCAGATTAACTACAGCCTTTTGGACTTCAGCTAGAGTTGGGAGACCTACTTCAATGCTCCATTCACACTGTCTGGGTATGGATGGTAGTTATAGAGTAGCTGAAGGCCAGCTGAACTGTTCTCTGAAATGTTACGCCCATCGTTCTAAACGTCTGGACTGGGAGCAGATGAGTGTCATCTTTTTCCGAAATAGTCTGACTTACACTTGACTGATTAATCACAGTTTCTTTTATTAGTCTATAGAGATGTCTTGTGTTAACTACAGCCGCCGCCTTTTCCATCTCTCTTGCCTTCGTTGCCCACCACTGCTCACGGACGTTCCTTAGACTGATTTGTTTTTGCTCTTCATCGTGTTCAGATCCTGATGAGATGAGTTTACGAGTATCCATCAGTGAAATAGACCTTGAACAAATCCATTGGTTCTTTGTAACCATTTAGTTTAAATCACTGACAGATGTCACTGCTGTTTCCACAACTGCTTATATATCTTTCCAAGCAACATCATTGCTTATTTTCAATGGCTTCTTTACTTAGATTTTCATATCCTACTAAACCTTTCAAAATAAGTGCTTTGTTTTAATATCAACTTTGTCAAACTCAAGTAAATTGAAAAAAATCAACTTGTTTAAAGAATAAACTTAACTTTTTAAACAGTGATCTGAAAATAGATATTTATTCGTGGTACTTTAATAAGGTTTATCTCACTAGTGTTGGAGATTGTTGGAAGAAAGTGGCCAAACCAAAAACATGGCATCAGTCCTTGAAGTAACTAACTACTTGGTTGGAGTTCATGTGACTATCGTAACCAATGGTTGGAGACTCTGGGTGACATGGCTCAGAATCGATCACAATGGCGTTGGTGTATACACTCTTTGTCTTCCCTTAAACTATGAGATTAAAATCGCTTCATATCTTTCTTCCTACGAACTAATTCTTTCTCGTCGTATTGTATCTTTAAATGCAATCTTTCTTTTAAATACTGCTACCATTGAAGTAACGACTATGAATATGTTCATCTTGTTGTGCTAATGAGGTGTGTCTACTTGGACCGATGAATATATGTTCCTGGTCCTATGTTGTAACTGACTGACTGACTGAGTGAGATTTATTTCATTTTCTTAAAATGAACTACTAAAGTATCAATTAGTAGGTATTACTGATTGTAATTTTCATTAGATTATTAGAAATCATGGAGTTTACCATGTGATCAGAATTATTAACGAGTTTTAGTAAATATGATACTAGTTTAAAGACATTATGAAATATCAGTTAAACATTGAAATATTTCTTCTCTCAGTTATTGATCAGCAGCTTAGTGGTTGAAGCATCAGACCTTAACCGTTAAGTCCTAGGTCTGAATACCGCTTCACCTATTTCTGTTCAGGCAACCGGATAATATCATTAACCCTTATACCTTGAGTGAAACTAATATTCTAGTACCTGATGAATGGGTTATTTACTCATTTCTTTATCTTATGATTATTTACTTGAACCTCCTTAATCAATAATTTGTTTCCACACTTCGATCTTTTATAATTGTTACCGTCATTGTGATTACATCATCGATGTTTTGTGTAATCAGTCTTAAATGGGTCATTTTATTGATCTTATTGATAATAATTTAAAAGTAGTCCTTGTAATTGAAAATATTCAAGACTTTTGATTATTAGATTCCTTTCTAAACAGAATTTTTATCATTCTAAAACGTATTTACTACTATTTTTCATCAATAAACTGAATTGATTTATGCATATTTACATGACTAAAAAGAAAGATGAAAAATTTCAATCAGTTAAAATAAAATAGAATGTCTGTTGGACGGATAATATCAGAAACAGTCTACTGTGGGAGAGGACAAACCAAATTCCAACTGAAGAAGAAATTAGGAAAAGACGATGAACGTAGATACAACACAAATTGAGGAAATCATAGAACTGAATCACGAAGCAAGCGCTAATTTGGAAGTCAGTCAGTCAAGAAGCTACAACGTAGGACCAGGTACATATATTCATCGGTCCAAATTGACACACCTCATTAGCACAACAAGATGTACACCGGATTCATAGAAGTAGTTACGTTAATGATAATAATGTATAAAAGAGAAATTGTGTATAAGCATATAGTGCAGAAAGAAAGAATTAGTTCGTAGAAGGGAAGATATAAAGTAACTTTAATCGGATAGTTTAAGGGAATACAAAGAGTGTATACACCTATGCCATTGTGATCGATTCTGAGCCATGACATACACAGTCTTTAATAAATGATTACGATAGTAGCACGACCCCAATCAGGTAGTCTGCATCTACCATCATGGCTTAGACCAGAAGTTGGTGACTTCACGGACTGAAGGGAAACGAAAAAGTGGAAGACCAAAGAACATACTACATTGAGAATTGGAAGCAAACATGAAAAGTTTGAATAGCAACTGAAAAGGTTTTCTGAGGACAGAATTGGATGGAGAATGCTAGTAAGCGATCTATGCTCCTCCATAAAAGGTAACAGGTGTAAGTAAATAAGTAAGTAAGTACATCTAGAATGAAGTCTTTATGCGTCACTGAATCCTATATTGTATATTATATAATTAAGTCTATTACCTATGTTAATTAAACATAATAAGTTCTAAAATACTGTACCTTTATTTGTATTTTATTATCATTATTGTTAATCACTTTTGTTTGTTCAGTAATTATAGATTTATCTAGTTTATTGATTAGTGATTCTGTTGTCATATTTACAACTTGTTTATTGGAATCTATAATATTCATAGTTAGATGATCAGATTGTAGTGTTTTAGGTACTGTCAATAGATTATCAGTAAATGAAGTGTTTGTTGAAGTAATAGTTGCAGGTGAAATTTGCATTATAGAAGTTGTAACAACAAGAGTATCTGTTACAGTTTCAGGAATTGTTGTTGTGTTTGATAACAATGAAAATGATGATGCTGTCGATAGTGATGAAGTTAAAGATAAGGTGGAAGATTCAATTCCAACAGTAGATGTTATATTTGATGATTCTATTCGCTGTTTTATAACTTTAGCTTCATTTGCGTCTGGTTCCATAAATAATTCATTTGTTGTTTTTAATGAAGATTGTGTTATTTTCGAAAGGTTTTCATCTGTTATGTTTTTAAGGATTTCTTCAATAATTAAGTTGGCTATTTTGTGATGATCTTTGAATACAGGAGAAGAATTCGAACTTCATAAATAAGAAGAATAGAACACAATTGATATTATTAAATAATTATAACTTTCATTATAGATAAAATAATTCTATGTTTTACAGTTTACAACTACTGAAAATCAGGGAGTGCTAGATAGCTGTTTTTTTGCCATTGAGAATCTTCAACATTTCACATCCAAGACTTCATATGAGATGGAACTAAGTACCATCATGTCCACAACCATGGTCAGCAGACCTTGACTATGTCGAATGTCAGGCATTTATTTACCAATGGCTTTGGAAGATAGGTACGTAATATCGCGAATCAATTGAAGTTAGATATGCCAACTATTGAATATCAGCTCAGAGGCATTGGGGTTAACCGATAGCCGTGTGACTTGAAGACTTCAAGTTTGATTTCAGCTGAAATCGTAGATGAGAGTTATCGAGAAGTTTCACACAGAAAAGAAAACGCTTTCACATGCTTCTTGGTTTCTAGCTATTGTCGAAATAAGATCAGTTCATTATGGAAGCTACAATACTAACTAATCTCTACAAACCCCATACATCAATAATCTCAGATTTTCTTAATCTCAGATAACCAAGTCGATGAAGAGTTAACACTTTATTTCTTATCAACAAATGTTAAATCCCTGCATTCCCTTTAGTTATGTTAGGTCGTTTTCTGCCAAAGTAGCTTACTGAAGGAGTATTTTGACTGAACAGGCTATTAAATGGCATGTATTTAGTGGACAGTAAATATCAAATATTTTCCAAGATTAGAGAAATACATTGATAGTCGGTGCTGATTAGCAGAAAATTAATCTTATAAAGACTTTTTTGGGTATTATTTTCAAATTTTTAATAGCAAATCAATGAGGTGCAAAGTGGCGACCTTATTATGGACCTATCACTCAGTCCTCTTCTGCTTATGAAGTAGTTATGTTAGTATTTGGAATTTCCTACGTTGATGTGTGATCAACATTTTACTCTATATTATTCTATGAGTTCAGCAATGAAAGTGGAAAAAATGGAAGTTATCTGCTTGTTGTTTTGTATCATATTCTGACTATCGGGTGAGCGAGCTTAAGGAAATGTATTCTCGGCCAGTAGTCTTTATGTTTTACTTTCATCTATTATGTCGCTATCGTCGTATCATTGGTTGACCGCATGTCATTGGTATTATATAGACAGTTTAAGCGAACGAATCAATAACTAGACTCGATCAATAACAGCCCTCTTGTCTTATTATCCCGTTGCATGGGTTCCCAAAAACGAGAAGCAATATTAATAGAACAATGAGAAGACAAAGCTGATCTGAAAGAATGTGATGTATATGCGTGATACATTTCTATCAATCTGGTCACATATATACTTGTCAAGGCAATCTATGTGAAAATTAATAAAGGTAAATCAAACGAAGTTATCAAGGACAAACTCTTAGGTTTATAGAAACCTTTGCTATTCGTAAATTAAGATCTCCCTTATGTGTACAGAAGCAATTTGTTGTAATCTTGAATTCGCTCTGGTAATCCGCAAGTCACGTTATGGCTAGACTGTTCGATATGTGTGATTCAAATACATCAGATCAACTTCGTCTTCTCATTTTTCTATTGAAATTTATGAAAGGGACTAATTGCTTTAAAGAAGAAATATGCTTGTTTTCGTCATATCAAGAACAGAAAATAATGGAATATGGTTTGAACAAATTGTGAATGTACATACCTGTCTGTTAATGTTTTCTCTACATTTCCTTGAGTTATTGTTGTTGTTATGCTGGGTAGTGTTTCAATACTCTTCCCTTCTATTCTTTCATTTGAATTTGGTTTCCTCTGATCAATGAATGACTTATTTAAACATTGAACATCTGAAGAATTCATTTGTTTTAAGTTAGGTTTATTTGCATTAAGTAACTTATGAGAATTTGCAGTTTGACAATGAACTATTGTAGGCTTCGTATTATTGATATTTCTAGATTTAAAGGTATTATATTTATTGTGATTTTCAAGTGGTACACAGTTTTGTTTTACAGGTAAAGATTGTTTTGATGAATCATACGTTGAAGATGATAACATTATGGATGTCAGTGATTGTATACTCGATTGTTTTGTTAATCTCATTGACCTAGAGGAATTTGTTGACTTGTCCAAAGAATTTTTTGTGGTGAATGATGGTAGAGTCTAGAATATTCGTAATGAAGTGAAAACAAAACATTAGACCAAGTTACTAATATACCTCAGGGTTTTACAGCAAAAGAAATTCAATGACAAACCTGAAATAATATAAGGATTTTAAAAAAAACGAAAGGAAGTGATAACTAATACTATAATAAGTAATATTCGGACTGAGGCAAAGTGTCAGTGTTATCGAAAACCGATTTTTATAAACTTGAGAAAAATGGCCATATCGTTTATGATTCAGAATTTAATTCAGCTGAACGATCTATGCATTTTTACTTCTTACTTACGCCTGTCGGCCCTCGTGGAAGAGCATAGGCCATGCACCAGTACACTCCATCCAACCCTGTTCTCAGCAATCATTTCCAGTTGTTATTCATTCTTTCATATGTGTTTCCAATTCTCAGCGCAGTATGTTCTTTGGTCTTCATCCTTTCAGTTTCCTTTCAAGATTCTAAGTTAGCGATTGCCTCGTGATGCAGTTTGATGATTTCCGTAATGTATGTCCTATCAACTCCCAGTGTCGTTTGCTGATTTTTCTTCAGTTAGAACCTGGTTTGTCTTCTCCTACAATAGACTATTGCTAAGGGTATCGGGTCAGCAGATATTGAATATCTTATGTAGACGTCTGTATCTGACCCTCTACATTCATCGATGATGTTACCGAGATATGTGAAACTTTCCAGCTCTTCCGGAGCTTTTCCATCAAATATGATTGGTTTGGTGTTCTGTGGGTTGTACTTGAGGATCTTGGTTTTTGTCTTTGTGTATGTTGAGGTCTACTGATGCAGAGGCTGTTGGTCACTACGTTAATTTGTATTAATATTAAAGTGTTTTGTATAAACATTGATTATAAGTATCAAAAGTATTCATTAATTTGCAGAAATTTAACTTAATCTTATAATCAGAATGGGTTTTGTGGAGATTTTAGAAATTTCGCTGGTTGAAATGATGAGTCAATTGAAGCTAGACCACCATGGAAAACCTGGAACAATGGACGGTAGAATCTCGCGGGGGCGGAATCGTGGATGCGCACTGATGTTTATTACAGATATTCTTTAGCTGTAAAATATTACTATCAGATATCTTATGAAACGACTACTTAAATAGTAATTATACTGAAGAACTTGTGGATGACTATCTTTTCATTTCTTTTAAAAATATTTTTTACTACAAAAATGAATCAAACTGTGTAGTACCTGGCAAAAATATATTTCACCCTTAGTTGGTATGCCTCAATCAACCAATAGCAAAAAGATCGATTAACAAGAGATTAAACTAAGAATTCTACATTGTTGGTCACAGTCGTAAACGAAAGGTTGGAAATACAGTTTGGATAGAACAAGTGAAACAGTAAGTGAATAGCACATAGGAATATTTATAAGTTAGGTTGGGAACCGTATCATTTACTGTATTCAAACTGAAATAGCATATATCTTGCAGGTTACACTCAACAGCTGACAAGCTGTAATCAAAGAGGTATTTACAGATCCTATATTTTTCCTATAAATTTTACCTGGAGCTCCTTTGGGGCCACTGCCGTTCTCAAGGCCGTACAAAACGAACTCGGTAAAAAAAAACACTAGCCAGGAAAAAATAGTTCAATATTTGATCTCGTTGAACTTAAATTAAGTCAGCATTTAATGACATTAGAAGATTAACTCAATTAAGATGTCAGATAGAATTTCTCATTTAGATCCATAGAACAATATTAGTTTATTTTCTATAAGTGATCAGAATTCTAGATCCAACCATAAGGTAATGAATCATATAAAAAGTAAAATACTACTTTACATGATTTTGATTCAATTTTTTTTTTAATTTTTCCTAATATCTGTGTATTATGTTAAGAAAAAACAATCAATCATAAATGGTAACTTACTGAGGATTGTGTTGAAAAGTTTAACTTCCGACTGTTAATATTACTATCAACAATGTTAGTAGTAGGAGTAGTAGTAGTTTTATGAATTTGATCTACAGAAATAAAATTAACAAAAATTGAAAATTTCAAAATTAAAATTGTGCAACAGACAAAATAGTTTATGTGTTATCGATTTCTATTTTGAAATAATAATCTCCTGTCAACAATATACATTAGAATGGTAAAACATTTTTAAAAGTAAATATATTTCAATTCAGTTTTGGTATTCCTGAACAATCTGATATGACTAAAATGCCAAGAGTGGGAAGAGTCCGCTTTCCCTCTCCAAATGCTCTCATATGGCCACGTGCATACAACCACTGTTGGGGAAGTCCTACTCACTGCATACTCGTGGGGGTGGGTGTTGTTCAAGAAATTGAGGGGACGAAAAGTGAATGTCCGGTGTTTTAACCGGGTTGGTGGATATGAACGATCCACTTAGGAGAGTTGGATAACCATGATTCTAAACCAAACGTGCACATGGGCTCCAGGAACTTTAGGGAACAAATGGTGTATAAACCAATTGTTGGTCACTGCTTACCATGGGACTGCATCTTCGCACGTTGTTCCACTGTCTTGTGGGCTAGACCTTTATGTCAAAGGCTACTAGTGTGGCTCCTTAAGGAAACCATCTGCTTTGGTTTGGTCACCCGGACAGTATCCCAGCCCTCACACAAATCGAATGATTTATGTGGCGCATATCTACTTGCTGGCTCCTTGTACCAATGTTTATGTGTTGGAGTAAATAATAAGTAAATAAATATAAGTAGTAGCAGTAGAGAAATGAACATGAGAAACAAATTTCATGTAAAATCGGAAAATGAAAGATATAGATTAATACCTTAATGAATAATGAACAAAACGTCTAAAATGCTACTAGTTATGAACCATGTCAAAAGATGTGTTTAAGTGTTGACAAAATTAATAGCGACATTTTGTTTTATAATCATACCGGTCACTGATATGATATTTAGTAAATGCTAATAAAGTTCTGAAAACAACTAATACACTTTTATATATTCAAGAGTATATATTATAAGCACTGTAGATTAACTTCAAACTTTGGTGGAATGCTTGTAAAGTGTTTTTTTTTAAATTTTCATGAAGTTTTCATAATGAAATAGCAACATACCGAACATCATTTACAAATATTACTTGAATAAAAAACAAACAATTTGAATCCACTTAAACAATAAGTAATCTGTTTAATAAAGAATATGTAAGATCCTATATATTACAAAGTTTTTTTTGGGTTATCAAGACACATATTTATCAAGTACAGAGTTACTTAGAAACGTCAATCACTAATAAATATGCTCTTGTTTACCATTAACTGGGTTGTTCATAGCCCTTGATATATATGGTAAGATTAAATAATAATACATGATACTTGATGTGGAAAATCGCAACAGAATCTCTTATCAAACCAAGAATACTAGGGGTCTTCCTGATTGTAATCCTACAGAAGTTTTATTTTATTCTTATTTGAAACGAACTTTCACTGAGAAATGGAATTACAGTAGTAGTACAGTATTAGTCAGCCAACACCGAGGACAGGATTTTCAATACAAATGTCAAGACAGTTCTACTGTATGGGGTGGAAACGTGGAGAACTACGAAAGCCATCATTCAGAACATACAAGTGTTTATTAACAGCTGTCTATGCGAAATACTTCGAATCCGTTGGCCAGACAATATCAGTAACAACCTACAGTGGGAAAGAACAAACCAGATCCCAGCTTAGGAAGAAATCAGTAAGAAGCGCTGGATGTGGATCGGACACATATTGAGTAAAGCACCAAACTGTGTCGCAAGACAAGCCCTCACATGGAATCCTCAAGGCCAAAGGAAAAGAGGAATATCAAAGAACACATTGCGCCGAGAAATGGAGACAGACATGAGAAAAATGAACAAGAATTGGATGGAACTAGAAAGAAGGCCCAGGACAGTGGGTTGGAGAATGCTGCTCGGTGGCCTATGCTCCATGAGGAGTAACAGGCGTTAGTAAGTATTAGTCAGCTCGATTATTTTCCTTTTCTTTCTGTAGTAGACAGACTATTAATACCATCAAGACAGATAAAATAACACACATTATTCTGTAGAGTCACTGTATATCAAAATTAGCTATGTATGAAAGAACCTATGACGTTTGCTAAGTTCGTCTACAGTTCATGGGCACATTCTCTTCTTATCCTATTACATTTTTGTCAAGCTTTTTATACTACTTAATAATATTCAGTAATCCGTTTTACTTCTAAGAACTTTTATACACTCAGTATAATACATTATGTCATATACTGTTCTTGATTACTTACATAAACTAGTAACATTTACTGTACCTACCGATCCGTTTACAATCTCTAAACTTTACAACAGTTAATTCCAGTTTTTCATATTTCTCCAATCTTTGTTTCCAATAATTCGGTGCGTTTGGTTTCCATTCGACTGTTGATAGTTTAACATTATTAGACACGGCTATCAGCTGTCATGTGTAAAATCAAAGCCTTTTCTCTTCCATAAATACAGATACACTTACTTACTTACTTACGCCTGTGACTCCTCGTGAAGGAACATAGGCCGTTCACCAGCATTCTCCATCCAACACTATCCACAGCAATCCTTTCCAGTTGTTGTTCATCATTTTCATATCCGCTTCTATTTTCCGACGTAATGTGTCCTTTGACCTTCATCTTTTCCACTTCCCTTCAGGATTCCAAGTTAGGGCTTGCATCGTGATGCAGTTTGACGATTTGTGTAATGTATGTCCTATCCATTTCCATCGTCTTTTCCTAATTTCCTCTTCAGCTGGAAGCTGGTTTGTTCTCTCCCACAGAAGGCTGTTGTTGATGGTATCCGGCCAATGGATGTTGTTTATCTTGCATAGACAGCTATTTATAAATACTTGTACCTTCTTAATGATGGTTGTTGTAGTTCTTCAAGTTTCAGCTCCGTACAGTAGAACTGCCTTGACATTCGTATTGAAGATTCTCACTTTGATATTGGTTGAAAGTTGTTTTGAGTTCCATATGTTCTTCAACTGAAGAAATGCGGCCCTTGCTTTGCCAATCCTTGCCATTACGTCTGCATTTGATCCTCCTTTTTCATCGGTTATGCTTCCCAGATATGTGAAGGATTCCACATCATCCAGAGTTTCGCCATCAAGAGTGAATGGATTGCTGTTCTCCGTGTTGAATTTGAGGACCTTGGTTTTCCCCTTGTGTATGTTGAGGCCTACTGATGCAGAGACTGCTGTTACACTGGCTGTCTTCATCTGCATCTGTACGCGATAGGAGGGCTAGGTCATCTGTGACGTCCGAATCGTCTAATTGATTCTGAGCTGTCCATCGTATTCCGCGTTTTTCTTCAGATGTTGAGGTCTTCATAATCCAGTCGACCACCAGAAGAAAGAGGAAGGGAGAGAGTAGACAGCCTTGTCTGAATCCGGTCCTTACTTGGAATGCGTCTGTCAGCTGTCCTCCTTGCAACACCTTGCACTGTAGTCCGTCATATGAATTCCGGATAATATTGACAATCTTCTCAGGAACTCCGTAGTGTCGAAGAAGTTTCCATAACGTTCTCCTATCCACACTGTCAAATGCCTTTTCATAATCAATGATGTTGATGTATAGTGACAAGTTCCACTCAATTGATTGTTCGACGATGATTCGTAGTGTTGCAATTTGGTCTGTGCACGACCGATTCTTAATGAATCCAGCTTGTTGGTCTCGAAGTTGGGCGTCTACTGTGTCTTTCATCCGGTTCAGCAACACTCTGTTAAAGACTTTTCCTGCTACTGACAGTAGTGTGATTCCTCTGTAGTTTTCACATTTGCTCAGGTCTCCTTTCTTTGGAATCTTGATGAGGTGTCCTTCTTTCCAGTCTATCAGCATTTGTTCCTCCCTCCAAATCTTTTTGAATAGAAGGTGAAGCATGTTTGTAGTTAATTCGATGTCTGACTTCAGTGCGTCAGCTGGTATATTGTCAGGTCCAGCTGCTTTCCCGCTCTTGATTCACTGGCTACCATAAATACCTCGCCAGTTGAGATAAAACTTTTACGAACTAGAACTTCACAATTATATCTATCATGTAGATAGATGTTTTGGTTGATTGTTATCATTTTATGTATGAAAATCATTTTAACTTTTCAAAATAATTATGTAACAATCTATATTTTAAAGAAAAGTAACTTACGTTTATTTTTATTGGGAAGAAACAATTTTTCACTTGATTGTTCCATTGAAATGATGGATTGATCATTTTCTATGGATATTCTTGTATCAAGTGAATCATAGTCTAAGTAAAGTGATAAACTTTGCCAATTATGATAATAAAGTTTGTCATCAGTAGTAGTATCTGATGTAGTTGTTGTAGTATCTTGATGTGCTGATTTAATGAGACGTTTATTTGTATAATAATGATAATTGTCACTTTTAAGAAAGAGGGAATGTTTAGTATAACTATTTTGTCTAGAAGAACCAACAATCATCCTATTAATTTTATCATTATAATGATGAAATGGATCCATGGAATGTTTTATTATTTTGTTTGATAATTGTGTATTCATTCTATTTGAATTATTTGTATGTTTTATTATAGATGAATGTTTGAAATGCATTAATTCTTTACTTGTATAACATACAAATCTTGGTGTACTAGAACCAAAACCAATAGGACATGTAGTCAGAACATTATTAGTATTGATCGTTGTTATTGTTGTTACGGATGTTGTTGATGTGATTGATTCATTTGTATTCCTTGATGTAGATACTTTTGTACTATTTTTATTCATTTTTTGATAATTATGAATTAAGTGAGATCCACAAGTGGAAGGTCTGTTAGGAAGTTTCTGTTGTTGTGGATGGTTCGAGATAGTTTTTTGTTGATAGGAACCTTGAGACTGTTTAGATAACTGATTGAAGCGTTGCTGTTCAGTACATGAAATAATAATAATAATAATAATGTAATCTACTAAAACAATTTTTGCAAATAGACTAATAACAACTTATATTGAAAAATAGTTTGTGAATTTAGCTTGTTTACGTTTAAGACGGTCTAAGTTTCCATATTTCTTTATAATCTGTAGAATTATGTTGTTGTATTACATAATAATACTACAAAAACTGGTCATCTATTGTTATATAATCTTTAAGAATATTGATATATTGCTTTGAAGAACTTTGTGTATATAATAGTAGTCAACGAGGCAGTTTATCATGCATGTGGAGGAAATTTCATCGGCTCAGAAGTATAGAAATCAGAAGTCATGTAAATTATTGTTATTATTATTACTATATTTCATTATTTAATTGAACACAAAAACGATGGTAGAAAAGGGTAACGCATACATATGCGCCATACAAGTCACTTTATTTGTGAGAGGGTTGTGATACTGTCCGGATGCTTGAAGATATGGGCTACCTGTTCCTCCGATCTAGATATTTCACCAAGTTATCTGTTTTGTTGTTTGTTTTAGCACATCATTATGTCTATTGTGAACACAATCTATTCAGACGCGTTTATGAAAAGTTTACAACCTTTCGCTATACGGGATACAAAAAGGTACAATCAGCGACATCATGGTGGCCGGCAATATGCATTGAAACGAATGAACATTAATCAAATATGGAATACCGAAAACCTAACATCTAACTGGTCATCATTCAAAATTTATCGTCGCAATCGATCAAGGTATAAGAAAAGGAAACTTGTTGAAATACTTTATGCTGAGAATTCTATGTTGTACTAAAAATATAGTGTTGAATAAAGCTAATAATAATAATATTAATAATAATAATAGTAGTAATAATAATAAGCAGGTGGTTTTCTTAGGGAGCAACACTCTGAGCTTTTGACCTAAAGGTCTAATCCACATGGCAGTAGAGCAACATCAAGTGATGAAGTCCCATGGTAGTCGGTCACCAATAACTGGTTCATAATTTGTTCTCTCAGGATCCAGGAGCCCATGTGCACCATTTGTTTGTAATTAGGGTTTCTCATCTCCCCTTAATGGATACACTGGACATCCTCTTTTCGTTCTCTCAATTTCGTATTCAACAGTAATGCCTTGCGAAGTTAGTGAGTACGACTTCTCTGACAGTGGCTGTATATGCATGACAATGTGAGAGCTTTTTGGAGAGGTAGAACGAAATCTACTCACCCTCCAACGTATCAGGGCATTTTGGGGCAGTCATGTAAACAATTCCCTTTCATTTGAGGAACGAAACACGATAATCTCTGTTATAAACTAAAGAGAGTCGATTATTAATATGATTGCATATTAGCCTCTTTTAAAGTCAGTGAATTTCAGTAAGACTTCAACTGTTAAGGTAATTCATAAACATCTTCTGTAGTCAATCTATTAATAGAAATCATAAAACTCTTACTCTCAAAAACATTTTACCAAAATGTTTTATTTAATAATAAAACAACTACTGAGTATTAAAGATGAAAAATAAGTAAACAAAGTAGTGATAATGAAGAACATTACTGAACATTGACAACCACCTTGAATAAAGACTTATGTCTAAATAATTCATACCACTTAAATCTGAAGTTTTGTGCTGATGATGTCGTTCAGAAAAACGATGAAAGCTCCACAACCAAACCATCCAGCTCAGAGAACAAAACTCCATCAAAGACATTTATTCAATCTCTTTACCTCTATTCCTAACAGACTTCTCATTGAAGAATAAGATCAGTAAAGATAATTAATTATGAACTCTGACAGGTGATATTAACTGACCATATATAGAACAATTTATGACAGGAAATTTGATAAAATATCATTCAGTTGCCCTAAGTCTGGCTTCAATTGGATTGTATACTGATTGCTATCGAAATATACATGTCGGCTATCCTCGTACATTTCATCGACTTAAATCACGTTGGTAAATAACAACTAAATATTATTCAAATACGAGAATGAAGTTGTGAATACGTATATTTTGTATAGTCACTGATCTGAACAGGAAATCAGCAGGATGAAGGGAAGAGAAGAGAGAGGAGCGAAATGCCGTGAGGTACAGAAGGTATGTAAGCCAAATCTCATTAATCAAGCTTTAAAATATTATTTATAGCCAGATATAATTAAGTTAGAGGCATGTGATTGAATAGGATAACAAGTCTACACACACATACGCTCATATAAAAAACAGTCAGAGTTGATAAGTAAATAAATAAAAAAGTCAAAATTGTGACTCAAAAAGAAGAAATAAATTAGCCTGTCCAGAAGTAAGAATCAAGTATATATGGGATTAACACATTAATCGACATAACATAGCCCCCTTTGTAGACAATAGCACATTTGAAAAAATGTCTTTTGTCAAAGCTAACACTGAAGTGGTTATGTAGGATAGCGTTAACAATTAAGGAAAAAGTTGTACATTACCTGATAAAGTACAGTTTCATCACTTGAGGAATGATTGTTTCTTCACAAAAGTTTTATACTTATGTAAAACAATACATGAACATCGTAAAGGTGAGGACAAAAAGTGGGAATGTTATTATGTCGTTATGACCTAGAATAAGGTATACAGGCTTAACATCATAGCAACTAACACTACAATCACTAATTAAAAATTAATTCATCATTATCATTTGAAAATCTTGTTTACAAACTACAAACTTTATAATCATACATATTGATCCTACTAATCTAATCTTTGAAAAATCAGGTCAACTTAACCTATAATAATACAGGGAAAAATCAAACCAGAATAAAAAATTTCAGATATTAATCAGTTTGAATGATGATACATGGATCTGATTCAGGTCATCCACTAGAATACTCGATTAGAAAAATAGTTCTGTTTTAGGATCATTTATTTGCGCTGTACTGTATATATAGGGCGAAAACTTGGTGAACTACGAAAGTAATCATCCAGAAGATACAAGTGTTTATTAACAGTTGCCTAAATAAAGTACTTCGGATTCGTTGGCCAAACACTATCAAGCAACAACTTACTGTGTAAGAGTACATACCGGATTTCATTGGGGAAAGAAATCAAGACAAAGCACTGGATGTGGATAGGACACACATTGAGTAAAGCACCAAACTGTGTCACAAGGCAAGCCTTCACATGGAATTCTCAAGGCCAAAGGTGAAGAGGAATACCAAACAACACAATATACCAAGAGATGAAGACAGACATGAGAAGAATGAACAACAATTGGATAGAACTAGAAATGAAAGCCGAGGACAGAGTGGATTGGAGAATTCTGGTTGACAGCCTATGCTCCTTCCAGGGGTAACAGGCGCAAGTAAGCAAGTAAGTAAGTAATCAATTATGTGGTGTAGACAAGAATACGGGTAGCTGGTTATCAAGTCACTGACCAGCAGCGGCGACTTATAGTTTCATTGGAAGTAACAGACTTAAGTAACTAGGTAAGTAATTTGTGCTGTTAAAGATTTCCAAATAAAAACACAACAGATTTGATAGTCTTTTATAAACGATATACATATATTAAGGTTACTTTATTCATAAAGTGTAAATAGGTTACCTATGATGAGAGAAAAGAGAAAAACATTAAAGGTGAAAATAGATTTGATGATGAATATGAAGGAGAAAGAAAATAAAGAAAGAATCTTTATTTAAGAAATTCATAAGAGTATCATCAAATCTATTCATGGATTGATTTTATTTTCTTTAACGTTTATGTTATTATTCATCTATGGGTAATATGTACATTATGAATGTTTTACCTAAGTATTCTCATCATTAAGTCATAAGTATATTTAAACACATTGAATAGTATCTAGCAATAAGTTTTGAGTCAAAGTTCTAATGAGAATATTAATATTATGAGGTGTAAGTTTCAGTCAGGACAAAATTACACATTTTGGATTACACATTACTGACTAGTTACAATTAACATGAACTAACGATATTACTGAAATAGTAATATTAGTTTTCTTGTAAATGTCACATTTACGATAAATAATATAAGAATAACAAAGTATTATTCAATGGTTAAGACCATGAGTCCGTTGAAGCTAGACCAACATGGAAAATCTGGAAGCACTGTACGGCCTTTCCGTCCTATTGTGGGATTCCTCAGCAGTGCACGTCCACGACCTCGCACCTTGCGAGATTCGACCCAGGACCTACTAGTTTCACGCGCAAACACTTAACCACTAGACAATTGAGCCGGCATTCAATTGACTCATAATCTTAACCATTGAAATTACTATAATATCCACAAAACCCATCTGAAAATGTTATTCCTTTATTTGTAATATGGTTCATTATATTTTACTATGACAATTCATATTTATCATTTTATCATGTTTTAACTAGACTTTTTCTTTTTGCTTTCTTCTACTACTTATAAGTTTAAAATGAATGATGAAATAGCATGTTCCTGACAAAAACATTTTGTTATTGAATATAATAGTATTCTTTGTTATTTTAGACTTTTGCATCTGGGGGAAAGCACGGAATACAATGGACATCTCGGAACCAACTAGACGATATGAACTTCGAGGATGACCTGAACCCCTTTGTAGTGTCAGTTATTAATTTTAAGCCCATAATATACCTTATTCTAGTTTTTGGACAAACCAATCTATTCATTCTCCTTGAGTTCATATGCTGACCTTGTTAATTATTCGCTTATCAATCTTGATTGTTTTTATATGAGCGTATATGTGTGTACACACTTCAAATCCCATGACTCATCACATGTCTGTAGTTTATTTTATCTGCCTATAAATATTGAGTAATCACTGGCTAGAAATGGAGTTGGCTTACAAGCCATCTGCCCTGCGCGTCATTTTGCTGTGTTCTATTACATTCACTATACATACAAGATATATGTATTCAAAGGCCATTCTCGTTAAATGACTTATCTAAATTCCGTTATCGACTAACGTGATTAAAGTCAATAATTGTATACGAGGAGAGGTGATAATGAACATTCGTACGATCTAAATGGAGTCAGATCCACGGGTCACTAAAGTGGAAAGCCCTTTCGACAAAATTACGGGCCTCACAAAACCTTCTTTCCCATACACACGAACAAATGAAGATAAAGACAGCCAGTGTAGCAGCAGTTTCTGCATCCGTAGGCCTCAACATACACAAAGACAAAAACCAAGATCCTCAAGTACAACCCACAGAACACCAAACCAATCACATTTGATGGAAAAGCTCCGGAAGAGCTGGAAAGTTTCACATATCTCGGTAACATCATCGACGAACGTGGAGGGTCGGATACAGACGTAAAGGCGAGGATCGTCAAAGAAAGGATAGCATTCCTATAGTTGAACAACATATGCAACTCAAAACAACTGTCAACCAATATCAAGGTCACAATCGTCCTATTGTACGAAGCTGAGACGTGGAGAAATACTACAACCATCATCAGCATCATCAAGAAGGTACAAATATTTATAAACAGTTGTCTACATAAGATATTCAATATCTGTTGACTCGATACCATTAGCAATAGTCTATTGTAGGAGAAGACAAACCTGGTTCTAACTGAAGAAGAAATCAGGAAAGCAAGTTGGAAGTAGATAAGACACACATTGAAGAAATCACCAAACTGCATCACGGGGCCGGCTTTACTCTGATTAATTTTCGAAGGTATGTAAATCGCTGCTTAACATGACTATCTTAACATGGTTGTTACCTTCTACCATAATGAATTATAGATATATTGCAGCTATATATCGTTGATAAATTTTCAAACAAATATAAAAACTTATTTGTATTAGTTGTTCAAGTCTTGTTGTTGATGTTTATGGCTCCAATCGATCAGTCTTTTTTTGGAATATGTTCGCCTTGTTCGAATTGCATTGATATTGCTATCAAGTCACAAAGGATGGGTGAACCATACTTGGATCAAGTCCCGAAGTGAGCATCAATTCGAATTTATGGACATTCAGCTGGTGAGTCCCAAACAGAACGGAACGCGAGCTCTGGATTTCACTACAACCTATCGTCCAAACTAATCACTATAGCTTTCGGACTTTAGTAATTATAGAAATGTAACAGTAATTATTTCATTTTCAATGCAGTAAAGATCACACAATTAATAATACGAGATGGATAAAATGGAATAAGTAGTTCATGTTTACTTATTAATTATTAGTTGCCAACTGGACAAACAGCACTACAAAGGTTCAATACAGCCTTCCTTCGAGATACTAACAAAATCAACGAATTCAAGATAGCTCTCAACAATAGGTTCCAAGCCTTACAAGATCTACTGAAGGAAGAAGAAACTACTATGGAGGACAACTGGAAAGGCATCAAAGAAACATTGACTTCAACGTGTCAAGAGGTTCTGGGCCTAAAGAAACACCATCATAGGGAATGGATCTCAATAGAAACACTGGACAAGATCAAAGAAAGGAAGAACAAGAAGGCAGCAATTAACAATAGCCAAATACGAGCAAAGAAAGTCCAAGCACAAGCTGAATACATAGAAACAAACAAGCAAGTGAAGAGGAGCATTAGAGAAGACAGGAAGAAATACGTGGAAGAATTAGCAACGACGGTAGAAAAAGCTGCTAGAGAAGGAAATATGAAACAGCTTTACGATACGACGAAGAAACTAGCAGGGAAATACAGTAAACCAGAGAGACCGGTCAAAGACAAAGAAGGCAAGCCAATCACTGAAATTCAACAACAGCAGAACAGATGGGTAGAATACTTCGAGGAACTCCTGAATAGGCCGGCTCCGATGAATCCACCGGACATCGAAGCAGCACACACAGATCTCCCGATAGATTTCAACCTACCAAGGACGGAAGAAATCATAAAAGCCACTAGACAAATCAATAGCGGGCAAGCAGCTGGACCCGACAATATACTAGCTGAAGCACTGAAGTCAGACATCGAATTAACTACAAACATGCTTCACCTTCTATTCAAAAAGATTTGGGAGGAGGAACAACTGCCGATAGACTGGAAAGAAAGACACCTCATCAAGATTCCGAAGAAAGGAGACCTGAGCAAATGTGAAAACTACAGAGGAATCACACTACTGTCAATACCAGGAAAAGTCTTTAACAGAGTTTTGCTGAACCGGATGAAAGACACAGTAGACGCCCAACTTCGAGACCAACAAGCTGGATTCAGTAAGGATCGGTCGTGCACAGACCAAATTGCAACACTACGGATCGTCGTCGAACAATCAATTGAGTGGAACTCGTCACTATACATCAATTTCATTGATTATGAAAAGGCATTCGACAGTGTGGATAGGAGAACATTATGGAAACTTCTTCGACACTACGGAGTTCCTGAGAAGATTGTCAATATTATCCGGAACTCATATGACGGACTACAGTGCAAGGTGTTGCATGGAGGACAGCTGATAGACGCATTCCAAGTAAGGACCGGAGTCAGACAAGGCTGTTTACTTTCCCCTTTCCTCTTTCTTCTGGTGGTCGACTGGATTATGAAGACCTCGACATCCGAGGGAAAACGCGGAATACAATAGACAGCTCAGAATCAATTAGACGATTTGGACTTCGCAGATGACCTAGCCTTCCTATCGCGTACACATGAACAGATGCAGGTAAAGACAGCCAGTGTAGCAGCAGTCTCTGCATCAGTAGGCCTCAACATACACAAAGGGAAAACCAAGGTCTTCAAACACAACACGGAGAACAGCAGTCCAATCACACTTGATGGCGAAACTCTGGAAGATGTGGAATCCTTCACATATCTGGGAAGCATAACCGATGAAAAAGGAGGATCAGGTGTAGGCGTAAAGGTGAGGATTGGCAAAGCAAGGGTCGCATTCCTTCAGTTGAAGAACATATGGAACTCAAAACAACTTTCAACCAATATCAAAGTGAGAATCTTCAATACGAATGTCAAGGCAGTTCTAATGTTTGGAGCTGAAACTTGAAGAACTACAACAACCATCATTAAGAAGGTACAAGTATTTATATGTAGCTGTCTATGCAAGATACTCAACATCCATTGGCCGGATACCATCAGCAACAGCCTTCTGTGGGAGAGAACAAACCAGCTTCCAGCTGAAGAGGAAATTAGGAAAAGACGATGGAAATGGATAGGACATACACTACGCAAATCTTCAAACTGCATCACTAGACAAGCCCTAACTTGGAATCCTGAAGGAAGGCGGAAAAGAGGAAGGCCAAGAACACATTACGTCGAGAAATAGAAGCAGATATGAAAAGGATGAACAACAATTGGAAGGAGCTGGAAAAGGATTGCCCAGGACAGTGTTGGGTGGAGAATGGTGGTGAGCGGCCTATGTTCCTTCACGAGGAGTAACAGGCGTAAGTAAGGTAGTAAATGTAGGTCTTCAGCAGTTAGTATTTCTTTGTAAGAAATAAAGCGTTTTTGAATAATTCTTATGTCATTTAAATGAATTGTATGACCCGATTCTATCGAATGTAATGCTATCGCTGATTTGTTCTCAAGTTTTCTTATCTCAACTGAAGATTTAGGAATGTGCTTTAAGCATATTTTTTGTCCCTTCACTCTCACATTCAGTTGTCTCGATGTTTCACCTACATAAGTTACATTATAGCCACTATATTTGATTTCATAAACACAATTCTGTTATTCCGCCTTGTGTATTGGATTTTTGATTCTGACTAGTTTTGATCTTAGAGTATTGTTTGTTCGAAAGAATACTCTTATATTTTGAAGAGATAGAATCCTTCTTAAGGCCTAGACCAGATTGCTAGGTGAAACGTTGGATTTACTTCAAATTCATTCCCTGAGATTTTACAAATACATTCTTCCTCTTTAATAAAATAGTGTAGAATTCCTTGAGTAATTATACTTGCTTATAGAAGATACATAGAAATTTATCAGAATAAATAGTGAACGAGTTAAAAGCAAACATGAAACAATAAGTGAAAAATAATTAAATATAATTGATTTTCAGAAAAATTAACCATGAATCCATCAAGGTTTCTATTAATTATAATAGAAAGTAGTTGAGTTCAACCGAGTTTCCCAAAAAAATTATAAAATACTGTATACGATATGACACCAAACTGTGTCATAAGGCAAACCCTCACTTGGAATACTGAAAGTCAAAGGTGAAGAGGAATACCAAAAGAACACATTACGCTGAGAAATGGAAATAGACATGGGAAATATGAACAATAATTAGATAGAACCAGAAAAGAAGACCTAGGAAAGAGTGGGCTGGAGAATGCTGGTCGGTGGCCTGTACTTCATTGGGAGTAACAGGCGTAAGTAAGTATACAATTTGAATGTCGTCTGAATCTTACTTCATATCAACGAGGGAAATATAGATCATCGACGTAATGACAATTAAATAACGAAACTTAATGACATGTGAAAATGACTGATATAATCAGTATCAAATTAATTTATTACATTTCTACAATTATCAAATGTTTCACCATTCAAAATCTATCTTCTCAAACTTTTATATGTTTAGTATCAACAGGGGTTTTTGTGGATATCATAGTAATTTCAATAGTTGAGTTCATGAGTCAATTGAAGCTAGATCACTATGGAAAACCTGGAAGCACTGAACGGCCGTTTCATCCTAAAGTGGAAATCCTAGGTTCCAATCTCGCGAGATAGAATCGTGGATTCGCACTGCTGAGGAGTCCCACAATAGGACGAAGCGGCCATCTAGTGCTTCCAGGTTTTCCATATTGATCTAGCTTCAATTGACTCATGATCTCAACTACTGAAATTTTATATGTTTGTCTTTGAAATATTGTTAGGTTTTGTTTTCTAAGTCATGGTATTTACATGTACACTAGATTTCTTATTATACAAAGATTGGGTCGTTTTAAAGAGTCATCATATAAGTAATACAGTCATTAGATAAATATATATTTATTGGAAATTACCTACCTGTTTTGAAGCTTCAATTGCTTTTCTACGAGCTTCAGCTTGTTTATGTTTAAATTGTAAATTTTTACGAATTTCTAATAATTTAGCTTGTCTACGTTCCAACGCTTTCTGTCTAGCCGATATTAATGCTACTTCAGAAGCTAATAATTGAACTTTCCTAATTGCTTGACGTTTTTCATCTTCAGCTTTTGAAATTGCTCGCCTATCTTTACCGGATGAAGGTACACTATTGAATTGGTGATCATTTGAACAGAGTGAGTTGGATTTTTTATTATGATACATTTGACATAAGGAGTTAGATGTAGAAGGACGAGATAACATTGAATTTGACATGAGACATAAATCTGTAGTTGTTTCCTGTACATGTTTATTTCCGTTTAAAGTGCATATTGAAGAGAAATTTTTTTTAGAGCAGGTTTCTGGAAAGTTAGAGTTAGAATAAAGTAGTCTCAATAAAAACATATACCTATCCATAAATTAAAATAACAGCAATTTACTCAATCGTATTGAAGTTTACAAAAGTGTATAAACCACTGCATAATCAGTCAGTCAATAACAACGTAGAACTTCTTACGTACGTACATCAGTTCAAATTCCCATACTACATTAGCACAAAGATACAATTGTCGATTCAAACCTCATAGCGGTAGAGGTAGTGAAAGTATAAACAATAATCGGAAACATAAGGGTTTGAGGATGTTATTCAAGGAGTATAATCCAGTGAAATAAATTTGTAAAGAGAAAAAATGGGGACATGCAGAATTCAGAAAATTAGAATTTGTGAGAACACAAAGAGTGGATGCATCTGCGCCATTGTAAATGATTTTGAACCATGTCATTCAACGTCTCTAACCATCGGTTGCTACGTAATATTTTATATCGATAATAATAAACTATTTCCACTAATCTAGTACTAGTATTAGATGTATGGTGTTATCAACTGTTGTCTTACTGAATGTAATTAGATCATTAACAAACCATATAACCTGATTTCAATGGCTTCGATTGGACAACTAGTATAAAGGACTGTAGTATTTGTACAATGAGTTTTTTCTGTGCATTATGAGAATCTTATTGATAATGGTCAGAAGATAAGAATTTTGTAGTCACTTACTTTTATCACGAGAACGCGATTGGTTTAATGAAAACAATTATTATTATAACCAACTGTATCAGTGATTGTTTTACTGTGCTCGTTTGTTTAACTGTGCTAATGACAGACATATTGTGTTTCCATTATCCTCCATTATTTTTTCGCGGTTCGTGACTCCGTTCGTATGTACTCCCTTCTGCTGCTTCTGCTTGTAGCATTTCTTGGCACGATCTTGGTATTCATTCGATACCACAAGATCGCCAATTAAATAAACTTGGTTCTATTCCGCCTTCTGATTTTATTGGCACGTATTTCTCAGTAGCGGTGTTCATAATCAACTGGGACTCGACACCACGCTGCATTTTCGTATTATGCCCAATTTCTTTCCCTTTTTATATGCAAATAAGTAAGAGGGATCGTCGTTTCAGTCATTCACATTAAAGTTGTTTAACCATAAACTAGAATTTTCAATCCTGATTCCCACGGAAACATCCAGCCAATAGGGTGAAACTATTAGGTTACCAATCCAAATAAACGTCGAACATTCTCAAGTACTTTTGTATTTTCTATCTACCGAGACAAAGGTGTCATTGTACTGAATCAAGCGATTTGCGCCGTTGTAGAAATCATCCAATAAAATATTGGTGATTTCGAACTAGAAGTTGGAAGAATTTATTTTATGAGTAAAATTCAGTAGCCATGAATTTAGAAACCACATGTTTCCTGACAAAATTTACGAAACGTTTCTTATAACATAACATGGTTGACGAACTACTGATTTTTATGATTAACGTCTCAAGTAAACTGTAGTGGCTGTGCTTCAATAACTAATCACCCTCGTATCGGTACCATATAATCTTCAACAGTGTTTGAAATTAGAAGGTAAAAAGAAGCAGCTACTACAGTTTATTTAGCAGATAATTCGGACTACACAGCAGAGAGGCAAAACGAATGAGTCATTGAACTGCGATTGTAGTAGTAGTGTAAATGTACATATATATAGGGATATGGATGAGTCATCGAATAGACTAAGCAGCCAATAATGAAGCTAGCAGAATGAATATATGAGTAGGCGCTAAACAGTGTTCAAGCATACGTATTTCATACAAGCACAATAATAATAACAGCACAAGTTGTTATAGCATGGATGACTTTGTCCATTAAATAGGTTAACGAAAGACCTTAACTGAGTTAAATGAGAATAAACCCAATTGTACGTGAGTCGCTATAAGACCAAGTGTAATGTTCCTATTTTAAGGATTTAAGAGGGGGATTGATTATGAGTACAGTGATCTTGAATGGTGTTAGAGCTATGGGAGTGGTTATCACGTCCCGGTTGCCCACACCGTGAAAGAGGTCTTCTGGGAGTATCTGAAAGAGAAAATTGGGTTAGTGGTGGTCTTAGTGACCTGGGAGCTTGACCTCAAATGCCCAAGGCCGGTCACACACGACTTTTTTGTGAGTGTTGAGACCTTACCGCCAGAGACGGATTACCATGGGATAAAGCGAGGTGTGTATTTTTAGGGTCGACCTTTTCTAACTACTTGGTTGGGGTCTGCGTGACTATCGTAAGCAAGGGTTGGAGACTCTGGGTGACATGGCTCAGAATCGATCACAATGGCGTCAGTGTATACACTTATTGTCTTTCCTTACACAACTATGAGATTAAAATTACTTTATACCTTTCGTTTTACCAACTTATTCTTTCTCCCTGTGTTATACCATTACATGCAGTCTTTCTTTTATATATTGCCATCAATGAAGTAACTACTTCTATAAATTCGGTGTTCATGGCAGCTTGGACTGATGCATCTAAATGCCTGGTCCTACGTTGTAGCTGACTGACTGGTTTTAAAGATTATTAAGACAGTATCATATAAAAATGCCCCATGACCAATGAATTTGATAAAATTAATTACGAATTGCCAGTATTTGTTTCAATGAAATTAACTTTTGACTGAATATCTACGTGAGATGTATGAATTACAAACATCGAGGTGATAAACACTGTTCCAATGATACCAGCAAACTAGAATTTATCTTTCGACTAGTGTTTCCGTCATGGTTCAAAATACCTTTTGATCATTGAGAATATCATGACTAATGAATTAGTACATTTTATAACTGAAACAGTAACTTAGCAGTAAGTACATACTAAGCAGACTGTTCCAAGTTGGACGCCTCAGCAGTACGCATCCACAATCCCGTCTCACGAGATTCGAACCCAGGACCTGTTGGTCTCGCAAGCGAGCACTCAACCTCTAGACGACTGAGCTAGCTGGCTTCAACTAATCCACGAAATTGAGCGACACATCCATTACTGTCTTCAGTGAGTTACTATTTCACAACATACCCAGTTGCACTCCAATGGTTGCTGCTTCTCATTAGAACTCCAGGAAATACATATTGGAGACTGTCACTAGTGAGCATTTGTTGATTAATATCAGCAGCGGTTTTGTGGATATTATAGGGATTACTATAATATCCACAAAACTCCTTAGAATTTGGTAAAAAAAAAAGTAAGTTTGGAATTAGTTCAACCATTTTATCATGATAAAGACAAACAAACGATTCTGTGTATAGAGTCACTTACTTGAATTTTTAATTGAACAGTACTGAGTGTTCATGTTATCTGTTTTTCTTTTCGTTGATTTTTCTTCATCGAAACTAAACTGTTTATTTTGTAATTTATATTCTTTACTGTGTTTGTCTATTTTACTATCAGTTCGATTCCATTGCAGTTTTTTGTTTAATACATCTTGAGAAGATGTATTACAACTCAATTGCTCTATTTTGATGGGATTTTCTTCAAGAAGACTATTATGATTATTTGAATGATAACCTTTCATTTGATTTTGAATTGAACTTTTCTTTGGCATCTGTTTGATAGAATGTGTATGATAATTTTTAGTTCTATATTGTTCACTATATTTATTTTTTGGAATAAGATTTTCCTTACTTTGTTGTTTATGTGATTGTGCATTTAACACTGTACAGTTTGGAGTTTGCTTTGTAGGATAAGGATATGTATAAACTTTATTATTAGTGAAATTTATGTCCCTACATGGTCTAGATGTTTTATGTGATGCTGATTGAATAGGTCCATGGAATGATTTCAATAATACTGAAGAGGAAGATGATGAAGTAAGTGATAAAGATGAATTTCGCCGAACAACTTTTGTTGATAATTCTTCAGAAACTTCATAACCACTTGTATCTTGATCAGTTATATCATTTTCATTTTCATCAAGAAAAATTCTCACTTCATCCAAATCATTGTCATTATTGTACACACAACATGATGTTGAAGATAATGATGACGATGATTTCAATGTATTGGATAATTTCTCATTTTGACACTGTTGATGATGATTATCATTGTTAAAATTATTTTGATGATTCTCCAAAGTACACATAAGTCTATATCACACTTTTAGATAATGCTGATAAGATTGATATTACTTATGGTAATTATACTAAAACTGATAGTCGATTATAATTGAAGAAATAATCGGTATTGTTAGTTCAGCTGTAGTTCATAGCATTGTATTGATAGATCATTACAAATCTGTTAACTCATAGTTATCATTAATCCATTTTTATGTATTATACTAAAATACAAATTTTAATGAATCATTAGAATAAATATAATTCATTTAAGTAGTCTAGATTGTTATTACATTTTAGTTTTTAAATACAAAATATTAATTAAACAAACAGATAAGTAAAATCTAAAATTAAAACTTGATTTACTTAGTAATTAACAAAAGCAACAAATAAAAGCATAGTTAAGCAAAGATGGATAATGGTTGGTAGTGGAATCCAGGACAAACTGCGTTTCGTCCTGTTTGGGACTCTTCAGCTGAATGTACTTCCATCTCATAGTTGCTGCTCACCGTGAGTTCATGCGACTGACGATTCCCAAATAGGACGAAACGCATGTCAAACTGGATTTCACTGCTACCCACTATCCATTCATACTTATAATGTCGAGACAATACGCACAATATACACATATGCCAAAAAGAGACTAATCAACTGCAGTCTTAAACATCAATGGAAAGATTCAAATAAACAACACCAAGTGAATTTGAAAACATATTTTTTACCATGGAAAAAAAACAACATTCATTCAACCATTACTGTGTGAATATAGTATGAACTAGGTATGTATACGTTGAATAATGGGTTTTTTTCATTGACTGTCAAAGAACAAGTTTAATGACAAGTTTTTACATAATGAATATCATACAATGTGAAACTAATGGAATTTGGAAATTTTCTATGATTTTTATTATGAGAAGATTACTGAATAAGAAACATAATTTATTTATTTAAACACATAAACATTGGTACAAGGAGGTACTAATTAAATATGCGCCACATAAATCATTCGATTTATGTGAGGGCTGGGATATTGCACGAGTGGCCAAACCCAAGCAGGTGATTTTCTGAGGAGACCCCAATCGAACCGTTGACCTAAAGGTCTCATCAACAAGGTGTGGGAGATGATAGCCGCTGACCAACGATTGGTTCATACACCATTTGTTCCTTCAGGATCCTGGAACCCATGTGCACCATTGGTTTATAATAAGGGTTTTCCGATTCCCCTTAGTGGATCCTACATATTCACCAACCCGGTGAAGCGTCGGACATTCGCTTTTCATCCTCTCACTTTCGTAAACAACAGTAGTGCCACGAGAAGGCAGTGAGTGAGACTTCTGTGGCAGTGGTCGTATGCACGTGGCCACGTGAGAGCATTTGGAGAGGGAGAGCTGACTCTTCCCATTCTCGGCAGTACCAGGACATTCGGGGGCTCCTCGTTGCGAGCAGGATTTGAAATTGGGCGAGGAAACCACATTGGATTCCTAGTCCAACGCCTTAATCACCAGGTCATTGCGACACTTAAATTTTAGAGCCGGTGAATAAGAAACGTTCAAGTGAAACTAAACAGTCTCGATTTAACAACAAATTGCTACATAATGAAATTATGCCAATTAGTTGATACTAAACAGTACGATTTATAGTTTTTCTAATTTAATAGATGATCGACGAGGAATCTCATTATTCCATGTACTTAATATTTTGATGTATTCAGTAAGCTTTAATGTGAAGTTTGAAATTCTGATTAAAAGTATTTATATTTTTAATGGCTAATCTATTTTACTACCAAAGAAACTCATATTATTTCGATAACTCTAGCATAATTTCATTTCAGTGCGGTGATGATGCGGTATGATAATTTGAACCGATGTGTGTATCGGACAGACTATTAATTGCACGCACCTGATGACTGAATGATTTTAAAACGCTTATTTTTAGCTGATTACCGCGGAGGTTTATTGGGACATATTACCAACAATAAGCATAACCCAAATTTCTTTTACTGATATATTGATTCTTTCTTTCTAAATATTGCATGAATTCTCTGCTTAGTATTTCATCTTTGTTAGTTTTAATTTCCAAAATCCGATTTTTATTGTACTATCACTGTCATTGCTAACATACTTTTAAAACTGAATTATAAATTAACATATCATTTCGTATGGTTCCCTACAGTTCTTAATAGTTTGTTGTGTTTAAGTACTAAGACGAGTTAGTAAAAATGTCCACCTGGAGCTCCTCTAGGGCTACTGCTGGTCCTAACCCCAGATAAAGTAAAACGGTTGGGCATGGGGCTAGGGACTCCATTCCGTAGAAACCTAACTCGCTTAAAAGAACTCTAACCAGAAGAAATAACTTAAACCATTTTTAGTCGTTCTTTTGAAATATTGAAATGCTGAAAAACGTTAAACACATTGGATTTATTTAAAATTGGTTTCATCATACTTTATCCTTATTTCCTCAGAAGATAGTCAATATCATACAGAATTCCTATGATGGATTAAACTGCAAAATCGTGCATGGAGGACAATTGACAAACTTGTTCGAAGTAAAGACCGGTGTCAGACAAGGTTGCTTACTCTCACCTTTTCTCTTTCTCCTGGTGATCGACTGAATCATGAAGACGTCAACACCTGAAGGGAAACACGGGATACAGTAGACATCTAGGATGCAGTTGGACGATCTAGACTTCGCTGATGATCTGGCTCTTCTATCCCAAACGCAACAACAAATGCAGGAGAAGAAGAACAGTGTGGCAGCAGTAGGTTTCAATATACACAAAGGGAAAAGCAAGATTTTCCGATACAACACAGCATGCACCAATCCAATCACAATTGACGGAGAAGATTTGGAAGATGTAAAAACCTTTACATATTTGAGCAGCATTATTAATGAACACAGTAGATCTGATGCAGATGTGAAGGCTCGGATAAGCAAAGCAAGAGCAGCATATTTACGACTGAAGAACATCTGGAACTCAAAACAACTGTCAACCAACACCACGGTCAGGATTTTCAATACAAATGTCAAGACGGTTCTACTGTATGGGGCGGAAACCTGGAGAACTACGAAAGCCATCATCCACAAGATACAAGTGTTTATTAACAGTTTTCTACGCAAAATACGTCGGATCCGTTGGCCGGACACTATCAGCAACAACCAATTGTGGAAAAGAACAAACCAGATTCGACTGGAGAAATCAGGAAGAGCTGTGAGTGGATAGGACACACATTGAGGAGATCACCCAACTGCGTCACAAGTCAAGCCCTCACATGGAATCCTCAAGGCTAAAGGAAAAGAGGAAGACCAAAGGATACACTACGCCGAGAAATGGGGACAGACACGAGAAAAATGAACAGGAATTGGACGGAACTAGGAAAAAAGCCGCAGGACAGATTGGGTTGGAGAATGCTGGTCGGCGGCCTATGGTCCATTAGGAGTAACAGGCGTAAGTAAAGTAAAGTAAAAGTTATCCTCATTTGTTAAGAAAGCATATTCTTATGTAGAGGCTAATTTCCCCTATATCTGACTACAAGAAATAGTATTCCGTTAACTGAGTATTTAATATAGTCTAAATCTCCTAGTAGAATTATGGATTTACTCGAGATAATTCAAAAACCTGAACACCAGTTATAGAGATAGTTTATTGTTAAAGATTGGTAAAATCCGCAAGCGTACACGAAGAAAGCACACAGGAAAACCAAGAGTGTGTAAGTGCTAAAAATCCATATATATTTATGAGTGTTAATCAAGTGTGGATAAATTATTGATTGTCTGTGTATTACAAACAATCGGAGAATAGATTAAAAATTGACATGTGCTCAATCAGACTCACACAGAAAATTACTTGGTGGATCAGTGTCTAAATTATAGTGAGCAGATAAATAATGGAGCAGTTGAATTGGCTTACTACACTTACATTAATTACATCAGATAGTTCAACCTGACGTATCTTTGATTTAAAATGACTGATTTAGTTATTTTAATTACCAAAATTAATGGTTGCTATGTTTGTCAGACAAGACATCCTCGTGACATCCGAAGGATTTTGGCTTTCATCATGAGACGTCATAACTCTTCTAAATGAAGACCTTCTAACTTTCAGGATAGAGTTTAAAAGGTTTGAATTATTTTTCCTCGTTAGTGTTTTTTAGTAAGTTAATCTTCTACGGGATGGGGTAGCTAACCACATGCTCAACCCTCCTTATTTATCCGGGCTTGGAACCGGCAGTAGCCTCAGAGGGGCTCCAGGTGGAGCAGATTGAGCATATAAAAAAACGTACGGCTACATATTCGTTCTTTGTCACCGAACAAAGCTCAAATTCGACTGATTAAATTATTTTTAAAAAAAACTAACCAAGTTGATAAGATCAACTGATGAAGAGATTGAAATATAACTAAAATATCAGATAGATTTTAAACAACATGGTTTAAAGGTAAAATAATATCTCATTGAAACATTATGACAACATCAACAAACTAGTCTAAATATGTATAGATTCTATCACAAATGCCAAAAACATTTACATGCATAAAACTTATCATAAGTAAAAATACTGAGAATTATGTAATATTTTAATTGAGTAGAAATTTGAGTTTCTGATGTTTTTTTCAAATTAGTTTAACACAAACTAATAAAGAAAAAGAATATTTATTTCAATAAGAAATAAAAGCCGATCTGATCTTGTTCATGTCATATCAGTTCGGTCAAAGTGATACATTTGTACAAGTCAGTTTGTATGACCGTTGTTGCTACCTTGACGTGGTGGTCGGGCTTGTCTATAGTGATGAAGCAACCGAGCTATACTGGCTGGAACAACCGTTCCTCAAGGTCCTACCATGTCAGACAGGTCGGTTGAAGAGCGGTAAGACTAAAAGCAACAAACCCAAGGTCCGAAGGCGAAGTCGTACTGCTGACTGTACAGAGGTGTGACAGCAGTAAGGTGTTTCCTTCAGACAACCAGCATGACAGCGATGCTGCCTTCCCACAAGGAGGGGTGGGGTTAGAAAAGGTCGACCCTAAAAATGCACACCTCGCCTTATCCCACGGATATCCGTCTCCAGCGATAAGGTCTCAACAAGTACGGACCCAACACGAAAATGACTCGCAAAAAGGTCGTGTGTGACCGACCTCAAGCAGTTGTCCCTTGGGCACTGCGGTCACGCTCTCAGGTCACTAAGACCACCTCTAATCCAAATTCCTTTTCAGGTGCCTCCAGAAGAACCCTTCCACGGTGTGGGCAACCGGAAAGTGAAAACCGCCCTCATACCTCTAACAGCACTCAAGACTGACTGACTGACTTATATTAATCAGGAAAACGCCATAATTTCGTTTATTGTTTACTCATTGGGATATTACAAATTTATCACTATATGTATGAATTAAAATTTAGATAATTCTTATAACTTGTGGCCTGTATGCTTTGTTAATGTATAATGTAATGATACCGCCAATTAGAGAAACAGTGAATTATCGATCAGACCAATGTCGCATAAAAGCCGTGCGAGCAGTCTAGAGTCTTTATCGGTCCTGCTTCCTCACTAACCATACCTGATAAGTCCGGAACACCAATCTTATTTATCTCAAACATATTGAGTTCATATATTAACCAAACAGATCACATCGTACAGTCAAATGGGAAACAACATTTGTACAAGATTTAGTCAAATGTGGCTGTGAATGTGGGAGATAGTAATTAATAGACAGGGCATAACTTAAGAATATTAAACAGTGGGATAATAGTTCATAAATCAAAATAAAACTGATAATAAGAGGGACATGAATATGTCTAGTTTAGTTATTTACAATAAAAATATATGTATAATATTGGTCCATAAATGGATCCCGAAAGTTACCATTCCTTATGCTTATCGGGATATAACAATAATAATCAATTGATTTGAAATTTTAACAGTTGAATTCATGAGTCAATTGAAGCTAGACTACCATCCTAGTATGAGACTTTTCAGCAGTGAGCATCCACGATCCCGCCTCGATAGTTCTTAACACCATTGGATTCCAACTCAATGGTCTAGAGGTTAAATGCTCACGTGCAAGACTTATAGATCCTACGTTCGAGTCTCGTGAAGCGGGATCGTGGATGCACACTGTTGAAGTCTCATACTACGATGAAACGGCCGTCAAGTACTTTCAAGTTTTCCATCTTTCCTTAAAAATTGTAATTAGTCAATCAATATATTAATGATTAAATGAATTTCTTTAACAAATCATTCATTATATCATTCATTTCATTTAGACTATCTATTCCTGATAAAAACAAAATGATAATGTCAATCTTTCTCATAATAAAATCATTTAATTCAATTGACCAATGATTTATCAAGGTAACATTTATTCCTATGTAATTGTTTATATAAACAAAATAGAAATTCCAATGTTAATATATATTTAATAATGTATGAGTAGTATATATATATGTATATATATGTATAAAATTTTATTGTACAATGGTTACTATAGTAACCGTTCAATTACGCTTCTATTCTTTTTTTATTTTTATTTTTTGGATAACCAATTCAATAATTTATCCACCCATTTTATAAATTTATAGAAATGATCGATTACTAATAGGTAAATTATTATTATTTAGAAGGATATGATACAAAACTTGTCAAATTTAGAGAAATGATTACTTCAAATGTTGTTTTCCTTTTTAAATACTACTATTAGTAATATTATAGTAGTATTGTATTTTATAAGTGAATTGTAATTTAAGTATATATTGTTATAACTTGTGCCCTGTGCAATTATCAATGTATAAAGTAATGATACCGTCAATTAGAGAAACAGTGAATTATCGATTAGATCAATGATATATAAAACTCGTATGAGAAGTCTAGAGTACTTATCGGTCCTGGTTCCTGAATAACCCTGCCTGTTAGAGTCCAGAACACCAATGTCAGCCTATGTGATATGAATTATGTATTTCAAACATATTGGGTTTATATATTAACCAAATAGACCATATCGTAGCATAAAATAGGAAACAACATTTGTACAAGATCTAGCCAAAAGTGACTGTGAATAAGGGAGATAGTAATTTATAGACAAGGCATAACTCAAGAATGGTAAATCGTGGAATGATAGTTTATAAATGAAAATAAAGCTTATAATGAAAGGAACATGAATATGATTAGTTTAGTATAGTGTTGGTATAGTATTGGTCCATAAATGGATCCCAAAAGTTATCATTCTTTATTCTCATCTGGATATAACATAGATTTATATCTGGATTCGTTTTTTTAAATGTAAGCTATTAAGATTAAACTTATCATAACACCTAGAAAAATGTCAATGTTTGACTTAGGATTTTATGTATGGGATGAATGTTGGTTATTATCACTACTAAATTTTATGCAAAGACAATGACTACTTCCATATAACTGTAATATTACTTTGATAATGTGTGTAAATCATATACTTCTTATTATGTAAGTTGATGAGAAAAACGCGGGTGTGATTCATGATCATCATATGTGAAATATATCCAAATATAACCATTGTTAGTTCCAGTTAAATTCTAGAACTGCTGGAAGTCCCTTAAACCATAACTTTTATTATTTAAAGTAAATTTTTGTGAGATAAAGGATAAATCTTGAAGTTTAAAATTCAAGAATTTCAATTACAGTCTGATATTAGATGGTGGTTGGAGGTAGTCAACAGGAAACGCTGCACCCGGGTTTTGTGCTACTCGGCACTCGTCAACAAGGTGTACCTTTAATCTTGAACTAGTGCTCCCTGACGGATTCGACCCCGTGTCACCCGGCTTCACAGTCAGAGACGTTATCACTAGGTCATCCGGGCCGCAACCGACCTCCTGTAGGACTGAGATGTAATCACAGTTGATTGATCACTGGGTGGTGATCAGTGTTATGTGTGTCAAATCCTTCTTAGTGCAGATCGAATGCTATCGACCAAGCTGAGATGCGGCCACTAGTCCAGGTGACTCGACATTGCATGCACTAAGAAGAAGTTGACACACATGACATTGATCACCACCCAGTGGTTAATCAATTGTGATAGATTGATATTGTTTAGAGAACAACTGTAAAGCATGGAACATTAGGTAGACTTTTGGTTTCCGCTTTCATGTTTGAACTTCTCAGTAGTGTGCTTAAACGATTTCTCAAGAAAATGAACTCACTATCTTTAGATCTGTTGTTCAGTTCGATATTATTCAACTACTTAGTTGAAATTTCATGGCTCATTTTTTCAACCTAGTTATCTCATGGTAGTGCCTGAGCATAGTTTAAATTCGTCGATAACAATACATTGACTTCTGATTTTGATTACATTACTAGTACTTGGTTTTGAAATGAATTTTAGGCAATCCTTCTGGGCTCTAGTCACCATTGGTTTAGTGTTCTTTAAGTGAACGGTTTGTGGATTGAATAGGACTTCTCTCATGGTGATGTTTTTTAGACTATTAAATTGTTGACCTTTTTTCCCAATAGGAGTATTTCATTAAATCAATGAAATGTTTTTGTCTTGTAGTTTTACTGTAACGACTGTTTGAAAACAATCGTATTGTATTTTTATTCAATTTTAATCTTCATGACTTAGGTTTGAGACCTGTTCGAAGCACCAGTTACTATCAAGATTGTAAGCATATGACTGCCTCCAACTAGTTAGCCTTAAAATTAACACTCTACTTTGTACTGAGTTGAAATACATTTAATTAAAATTATAATAGTATAATATTTTTTAGGTAGGTAAAATTTCCCAAATCTTCTATATGTAAAATGTTCTTATTTCAGTCAGTGAGTAACACTGTAGAACTTCGTACGTACGTACATCAGTTTAAGTTGCTATACCACATTAACACACAGATACAATTGTCGATTCAAATCCCATAGTGGTAGAGGTAGTAAGAGTATAAGCAGTAATCGGGGAGATTAGGGTGTGAGGATGCTATTCAAGGAGTATAATCCAGCGAAATAAATTCGGAAAGAGAAAAAATGGGGACATGAAGAATTCAAAAGACTAGAATTCGGGAGAACACAAAGAGTGGATGCATCTGTGCTATTGCAAACGATTTTAGTCCATGTCATTCAAGATCTCTAACCATCAGTTTCTATCATCTCGCGGATCCCAACCAGGTAGTCTATACCTACCGACATGGCTCAGTCCACTTGTCAGTGACTTCATGGACTTTTGCCACGTTTTGGTCTTATTTAAACTTACAGTTTAAACGATAACCCACAGTTCACCACTGATTATCTCTGAAAAGTCATATATAAGTAAGTGATCGACTCATTCAAAAAAGAAAACTTTATCGACTATTAACCTGATATATATTAGTTATTAAGTTACAGGTCTGAGATATCATTCAAGAATGAAATAAGTAAACATCGATAACATATATGTTTACATACCGCAATATATATAGCTCTTACTTAATTCTTGATAATGATAATTCGTTTCGCGCATAATAATAAACCGGAGTTACATAAATCAGACTATTGGATTGTCAATTATTCTTATAATGCAGTAACGTGTAAAAATATTGTTTCGTATGACCAGATTTGTTATCTAGTAAAACATAATAAAGAGTAAGAGAGATCATTTAGGCGTATTGGGCTGATAATTATCAAAAATCACGCCTTGCAAACATTTTGATTTTTATCAGAAGAAAATTTTGTGTATATTATAGTAACTTCAATAGTTGAGATCATGAGTCTATTGAAGCTAGACCACCATGGAAAACCTGGAAGCACTGGATGGCGCACTGCTGTGGAGTCTCAAAATAGGACGTAACGGCCGTTCAGTACATCCAGTTTATTCATGGTGGTCTAGCTTCAATAGATTCATGATCTCAACTATTGAAATCTCTATAATATCCACAAAATTCCCTTCTGATAATCAGCATATGCTCACTAGTGACTGGCTTCAAGAGGTATTTCCTGGAGAAGCAGTGACCAATCGAGTTCAACCGGGTCTGTTGTGAGATAGTACCTTACTGAAGGCCATGGGGATGTGTCGCTAAATTTTGTGGACTAGTTGGTGTTAGACATTTACACCGTCGGATGCCGGCCAGCTCAGTCGTCTAGAGGTTAATTGCTCGCGCGCGATACCGGCAGGTTTCGGGTTGAAATCTCGCAGGACGGGAATCTAGTTTTGATTCTTGTCAAGTACTTTATTCTTTTTACACGATTATATAATACATGATCAAAGCAAAGCCTCAGAAATTTCACTTTTCTTCCAATTTCCGCTCACTTCTTACAAACAATCTATAACTAAATATATTTTCACTTTAAACACTAGTCTATTTCTATGGTATACTAGATTTCAACTTTCTAAAAATTCAGTGAGAATTTGTTTTCAAAGTAACTTGTATATCATCTGTAAAATGGTGCATATATTTTAATATTTAAACGATTTCACCATAACCTGATGATACTATCATCATCAACATTATCACCATCCAAATCATCATCATCGAAAACAACAACAACAACATCATCATCATTATCTGTTACACCCAAAGCCGCCAATCAGAAGCAGCGAATTATCGATCGGACCAAGGACGCGTAAAACACGTGCGAGCAGCCTAGAGCCCTGATCGGTCCTGCTTTCCGCCTAGCCCTGCCTGTTAAGTCCAGAACACCAATCTGAGCCTCTGCAATATGAATCATTATATTTCAAACATACTCTGTTTATATATCAATCAAGCAGATCACATCATACCACTAAATAGAAAATAGCATTTGTACAAAATTTGACCAAATGTGGCTGTGAATGTGGGAGGTAGTGATTAATAGACAGGGAATAATTCAAGAAAAGAAAATCGTATAATAACAGTTTATAGGTTAAAATAAAGCTTATGATAAGAGAGAAATGAATATGAATAGTTTAGTTATTTAACAATTATACGATTAAAATATACGTTTAGTACTGGTCCATAAATGAATCCCAAGAATTACCATTCATTATGTTTATCGGGACACAACATTAACATTATCCAAATCATCATCATCGTTAATTGACATTCAAAAAACTTAATGTTCACTTATAATTCCCTTTAAAGTTTTAAATTGACTAGATGAATTTATTATTATCCATGTATCAAATTCAGGAAGATCTCATGTAAAAATCTATAGAATGTAGATGTACATTTTAAATGAATCATAAAAATTCTTTATAGAATAGTTTTCTGAATAAAGTTAATGTCTATATGAGTCTATTATGAAACACAATTATATAGTTATTCAAACATTTTAAGTTATTAGTGGAAAATTGCTATGGATATCTGTTTCTTGTTAAAAACTGATAAATGTACGTTACTTAGTCATATGTACTCTTAACTTGAAAAAAAAGACATTCGAATAACTTTAAATGTTTATTACCAGATTAAGGTTTGTGGAAATGGTAGTAATGTTAATAGTTGAAATCATGAATTGATGTAAGCCGAATCGTGGATGCGTACTGTTGAAGATTCTCATACTAGGACGAAACAACTGTCCAGTACTACCAGGTTTTCTATTGTGGTCAATCGATTCATAAATTCAACTATTAATCATCTTAGGTGTATATATTTAGTCAAATTTTATCATTTTGTCCCAATTTAAAGAAAATATTGACAAAATAAAGTCATTCATTTCTCAACTCAAAAAGTATAAGTAGTTATGTAGTGATATTGTTATACAATTCTTGGATGACAAAAAATACAGTATAGCTGTAGAAATGTTGTTATATCCCAACGAGAATTATGAACGATAACTCTTGAGAACTATTTATGAACCGATACGATACATTTATTTTTATTGTATAATTGTTAAGTAACTAAACCATGAATATTCATGCTCCTCTTATTATAAGCTTTATTCTGACCCATAGATTATTATTATTATACGATTTACCGTTCTTGAGTTATGCCATGTCTATTAATTACAGTATCCCACATTCACAACCACATTTGGATAGATCTTGTACAAATGTTATTTTCTATTTCATGTCACGGTGTGATCTGTTTGGTTTGTATGTAAACCCAGTATGATTGAAATATATGATTCATATCACGAAGACTAAGATTGGTGTTCTGGATTTAACAGGTATGGCTAGTCAGGAAGCAGGACCGATAAAAACTCTAGACTTCTCGTACAGGTTCTTTGTGTCATTCGTTCGGTCGATAACTCACTGTTCTCTAAATTGGTTGTATTATTACGTAATATATTAATAGGGTACAATGTAACAAGTTATAACAAATGTAATGATGTTATACTTTTTATTTCAACTGAGTGAGTTCGTAAAAAGCACATTAATAAAACTATAAATAATAAATAAGTAGATGAAATGAACTAACATAGTAGTAAATGATAAAAAAATTTAGAAAAAACGGTGATCAGAGAAGATAAAATCAAAAAGTAAGGAACGTAAATGACTTGAAATCGGTTTTAATAATCTTCATGTAGATATGTGAGCTGAAATAGTTTTGAATATGAATACAACATTGAAGTTATTTGATCATGATTATTAGTTTTACAAATGCATTAGATGTTTTGTCAAGAAAAGTCAAAAGTACTTATTTAGATCCAGTTAGACCTACAAAAATCTACAGAATAATTATAGCTATTCATAGTAGCAAGACATTATGAGTTGTCCGAAAATACGTTTTTTTGAAAGATTTACAAAGACATATAGATTAAAAGTTATTAAAGTAGATTTTTTAACACTAGTCAGTAATTCCAAAATGCAAAACTTACTAATTCTATTTGATTAACCATTAGAATGACCCTAACATATACATTCTATTTGCATGATAATCTAACTATACATAACTACGAAACTATTGTTACCACTTCAGTGAAATTCCGGGAAATAACATCAAGCCGTTAGTCAACAGAAGAGTTGAAACCTTACACTAAACTAACATCGTTTTTTGCATGTTGTCGAGCTATTAAAACCACAAACATCCTTACATTTTCAAAAAATACCAGTGTAGACCGGGTTTTATTCATATACAATGAAAGCTTTTGACGTGATATTTAACTATCACCACTAACATGTGCGTCAAAAACAGGCATTTACTTTTACCGCTGAAAAACTACGTATGAAAGTTCACGTTTCAAATCCATAAACACGTCAAACGTACACAACTGCAGGTATATTGACGCCATAGTAGTTAATCCCAAAGCTATGGAAAGTATTAAATGATAAAATGCCTCATCAGCTACATACTGAAAAACTTAATATCAATTCACAGTATAGATTCATAAAAACTAGTGATCCATACCGTGTCATCCTAAATTTTTAAATGAAGCTCCATTTAACAAAGTCCATGATACCTAATTGCATTGCTATATAATAGAATATCAAAAGCTCTCAACATGTTTAAGTTGGTTAGATACTACAAGATCAGAAGTACCTTGTAGCACAAATAAATTCACTATTTAGTTACCGTCACTAAAGTTAAAATAAACTTTTTCATACAGAACTATTGTCTCGTTGTATATAGTGTCATAAAAGAGTGTTTTGAAAGCTTGACTTCTCATCACGTATATCTTCCATACGATACACTAAAAATTTACTTTCTTCCACAATTTTCTAAAAAATGGTAACACAGACTATCATGCCGCCATCCATCGGTGAAATCATAGGAGTACTAAATGTCAAGGCACTGTTATTTCTAAGATTACAGGTAAAACCTTTTTTTATACTTTTACAACAAAAAAACGTTTATTATCTTATACTTGATTAACCACAAACTCTAGCCTACTTACATATTAGTTCATTATTATACTAATCTGTACAAAACTGTAGGTTATGTAGAAACTTTCCACTACAAATTAAGTGACGATAAAAATGTGAAAGGGTATCATGGACTTACTAAGTCCAATACTTAGTTATTTGGCCTTGTTTTTCTGCTGTAGATCACAATATGAATGTTACAAGCAGACCAGAATTGTTAAACACTAAATTGATGATTTTTATTCTCGTAATATTCAGGTTGCAGTTTTCTGATCAAAAACGTACTGGATACCCGAAATCGATTTGTGCCTTGATCTTATTTAAAAACTTAATGGATTTCTGTGAATAACACATTGAAAACCTTATTACGTTATAAAATATGATTTAGTGATTTCGTTGAAAGTCATCACCATTTTCACTAGTACTTAAATAAACTCGAGTCTTTTTAAAAAAACTGAATGCATTGTATATCTGTCAAGTCATCGCAGCTTAAAACAGTAACAATGACCGTCATTTGTTATTGAATGTAATAATTATGTAAGGATCCTAACCGAACTGTCTAGCGATTAGACTGTTTAATGTGCCTTCTATCGACAAAATGTAATATCTGTCACTCTAAGTTGCATAGATTTTTAGTTGTGCCACCTGATTAGTGCGATCGGTTCAATTCATCATACAATCATTTTTCCTATTATTAACAGTCCTATCTTTAAGAGATATACGAATATCATGTTGCATATTTTGTTTACTGATACTGTACCTTAAAACTATGCTTATTTAAACTCTTTTTTGTTTTTTCATTTTGTGATTTACACCACAAACAAATTGATCACATGTTCAGACAAAATAGTTAATAAAAATCATTTCAGATGATGCAATCACTTTAGTGTTAGCTCTCCTTTTGTAAAACTCCATTCAAACTTTTAAAGACGTTTGAGCTGTTATCAATTCCAAAATACACTCATATGTAGTTAGCACATGAAGTAACAAAAATGAACCGTTCAACAGTATTTCGGAAAAAAGCGCGCCGTTGAAGGAGAACATTGAAAATAAATACCAGGTTAATGGATTCGTATCATAAAAATCGTGTGATGCACACATAATCGTTTACTGAAAGTCAAGACAAGTGTAATGACGATAAAAAACAATATTTTTCTTAATTATATTTGTAAACTGCATTAGACTTACCATATACTAAAATAATTCACCTCGTTATTTAGTGTAAATACGTAAGTGTGGTAAGTCCTTGTTTATCTAGGTTAAGAATATGAAGTATACACCTCAACAATTTTCGGTGTAACCCAAGGATATTTTATTGCAGAACGCGCACAGGTTTTAGATAGTGCTCATTAATAAACAAAAAATAGGACTAAAAACGGTATTACTTAATACTCACTAGTCCTTCGGTTTTGAAATAACTATGGTACATCTTAACAAACCATCGTTATCATCTGTTTACTTACAGGCTGAAACTTTTAAATGTTGTTAATTTTTTTTATTAGACTCTTGTCAGTTGCAGCGAAACCTGAGATTTATCAATGAAAAAAGTTTTACTTTTAAGAGGAATCGACGTACCCACATAATTGTATTGTACTGATCCCTACAAAATCGTGTAAAAAAGCGAACAAAATACAGTACTAATATTCAGACTTCAGTGGTTCTACCATCGAATATTGAAGGGTATTTCAATTTCTTTACTTCATTACTATCTTTGTATAGTGTTTCATCAGTCAAATAAAGAGCTAATTATTTCAGGATCTTAAGTATCATATTTATCTACTCTTCTAGTTTTGTGAATTCCAAATTAATGTTAAGCGACTAAGTCCAATGAGACAGTCATTATTGACCGAAGTGTCTTTTGATGTGCTTCTTACTTTTAGGACTTAAAGTTATGACTGCGACTATTTAATACAATTTGTTCATTTTGTTTTACAGATAAATCTATTTGTTTTCAAGGAGCAATTATGAGTCTGACTTTATCCAGTTTAATTAAAACTATATGGCTCATTATTTACCTTTATATCAAGCGTTTACGTGCTAAAATAATGTAGCCATTTATGAGTGCCTGTTCGGGTACTTTTGAGTGATGTCATTTTTAAAACTGGTCAAAACTTGATAAATTGTGTTATGTATTAGCAAACAAGCACCTATTTTATATCCTGAAAACGTTCAACTATTTTTCCATCAGTATTAGACAAATTGTCAAGTATAGTGTTTACGTTTAGCCACTCTATCAAAGTAAATTTCCGAAAAAGGCATCCAGATGTATGTTACAAAATAAAAAGTAAGGAGTACAAAGGGATTCTTAAATTGTGCTAATTGTAGTAAATACATAATATTAATATCTCAAAGACTGATCATTGGTAATTGTTCATCGAGACTTAACAAAAAAACAATGTCGATCAATTTCAAGTAACTTTAAAAAAGTGAAAAAGTTGTTTTTTGTCAAAAACTGACATAATACATCTCGGTTGAAAATCTGGTGCTCAAACAGTATGAATTAGAACCAACCGTACTACTGAATATCTTAACGCTTTGGTCAAAACATTATTTGTCTATAATAACCAGCACAGTTCATTTGCGATCAAGATTTAACAAAACGTTGCTTGAGAAACATCCAGACATCGGATTGTGATAAAGTTTTGAATGAAATAGATGAAGTCTGAGGATCCGAGAAGCCGCACATATGCGACCATGCTCCTTTGAACAACTCACTGTCTCCACGTTTAAACTTTATGAGCATAAGAACCTGAATTAACGCCGGTACATAATTAAAAGATATCAATTTTGTTTTTAATCAAACTTTGAAAGACCTAGTTCCCCAAATGATTCCTCCCAAGATCCCTTTCCAAGGCTTTTGTCTCTGAATGCTTAATCCAGATGTTTACTTCAAACAATCCAGATTAACCATCGTCACATCCAATTTACAGTAACAGAAAGCATATTTACCGAAACAAACAACCCTGGTGTGCACAACACAGAAACTGACCTCATGTTTAGCGAAAACACTTTCCATCCTGTGTTAATTCCGAGTGGTATCATAGTTACTACTGACCTATATCGGACTTCTTCAACACTCATACCATGTACAAATAAATGAATCTTGGAACATACCAAACATACTGAAAACTATTAATATTTACTGAACGTGAGAGTGTTTGTTCAATATAAAAGTGTTTTCATGTTGTGAGAAACAATTAATGGCAAACTGATTCGCGATCTCGTTAAAGTGCAAAATTGATTAACCTACGTCTTATTAAAAACGCTTCTATGCATATAATTTGAAGAAAAAAGTAACATATTCACAACTTACTCGAACGAAATGTCTAAAAATTGAGAAAATCTCTATTATTCAGAGTAAATTAGCAAAAATGTAATGGATTAACTGGTTTGCAACAAACGCGAAAACGTATTACAAGATTGAAAGCCACCTAATTATTGTCCAATATATTGGTTAAAACAGTTACTTTTGAAAGATAATAGAAACATTATTCATGGTAAGTATATTGAGAAATTTTGTTTATAAAAGACAATACTGAAAACCTTGGTGAGCAGACAGGAAAACATTTTGGTATATAATTGTTGTATATTATCAGTATACAATTAGTGATCAAGGATTTTATTGCAACTTTAAGTGGAATAAATGTTTGTTTAAGGTATTTATACAAATTATACATTCAGTTGCTTATTTCACCGTGAGTTTAGCAGCAACACGCATTACTTTAAAAGCTCTGTCACACGGTTCACTCAGACAAAATTTCGTATTATACATTTATGCTTTAACTATCAGGATTGACTTTATATGCGTTACACCTCATTTATCTGTTGAATTCTTTCGCCTGACTTTTTAGTTCAATTGTGTGCTGTGAACATTTTGAGTACAATCTTCATTCATCGCATTTGTTTTATGTGACTTACTTTGACTGTTGGTTTATCGATGATTTCCACACAAGAAATACATCTTCACATGACGCGAAAATCTGATTGCCAATGATAACTTTTCGGCAACCTATCCAATGACATGCAAACCTTTGTCGATGAAAAAGCAGGGTCGTTAGTGAATAACACTGAGTATGGCATTTTCGATTACACACATGTAGATAGAATATAGATACGTTTGGCAAACACAATGTAAGTAGCAGTCGAACCGAAACGTGAACACAACTTCCTTATGTTGAAATCTTGAGTAGATGGGATATTAAAAACAAGAGAGAATTTTCAAAAGCTTTGCACTCAAGATAATCAACAGTTTACAAACACATCGAAATCGACCCAGTTTATCAATCAGTCAGAACGTCCATATACAAGTATAGGACCAACAACCAGACCAATGTGAAACACAACTAAAATAAAAAGGCATATGGTGATATGTTAAATATCAATAGTAACTAGTTAGTATTGAGTACAACAAGACCAAATATGGGTCATACGTGGCCATCTTTAAAAACTCCACTTCCACCCCAATCTTGTATTGAGGACGTTGTTCAGAAGATCAATGCAAGCTCCATAACCTAACTATCCAGCTGTGAGAACGAAACTCTACGGAAAACAGTGGTGAATGGCTGAGATTTAACCAACAACCTGACACTAAATTAAAAACATCCGTATTTGAGCTTGAAGCTACCCACTACTTTATCTTATTCAGGTGTCACACATCTACCTTGATTTACTAAATGACGAAATTTTGCATCTGCCTAACAAGGTTAACAGTTTTCACTCACTCTATGCCATGTTTAAGCGAACCACCTAACGATATGCTGAGACACTTTTCCTGCCAGCATAGCCTAACGACAGTAAAATAGCGAGCCTTATACATGTCTTCCGAGCTATTCACTGTTAAGCTCCATGAACTAATAAAATATAATTATTATCTGGCACCCTTCAAAATATTATAGGCATGTTTTAAACATTCAGTAACTTAAGATTGACTACCTAAGCATCTTTGAATCAACTAATGATATCATCAAAAAGTCAAGAGAAAAATTCGTTGAGGTGAATTAACAATATAATGGAAGGCACTTTGTCATAGTGTACACTGCTGTGTTCTTTATAAAGATTTAATTCTGGGCATATGGCTTGACGAAATAGAGATGAATTACGTAAGTGAAGTATTGAAAAACATTTACCGAACTTGTGCTAGTCTTCGTTTACTGTAGTAAAATTCTTGATACATTGGAAGTCAGTCCCATGCACTGCATCAGAATTAGTACATGCAGTTTTATCATTTAGGATACTTGCCTATGCTCTTGTAGTGTGGCATGGAGTCATGTTTGACTATGATCACCACTACAGGAAGACTAAGTGCCATTTAACCGATAAGATCCCTCGTAGGCCAAATATCATAAGACAGTTGATGGCTGTATTTGTTGGTAACCTTTAAGTTGTTTCGTTATATATTATTCTTTAAAACGTATCCCTAGTTTACATGCATATAAAACCTCAGGAAGTGTACAGTCAAAGACCTACTAAGAACAGAACTAAAATTATCACAATATGGCGGTTATAATGAACTTGTAGCGGTAAATAAATCCTCAAAATCAGTAGCTCTGGGTGTTTTCGACATATAATGTTGGCCTCATTAGTTTTAATAGACTCATCTCGCTGAAGGTGCTCGGTCATGCATCCGCTCCAGATCATGAGTAGATACTCCGTGCTTCACATCTCCTACAACCACTAGCCAACTTATGATGACCACTTCTTGATATATCGATAGCCTATCAAGTATATATCCGAACCTCATTGTTTTTGACTTTCGATTTTACTGAATTGGCACATTACTGGTTAAAGCGTCGTCAAACTTCAAATACTTGTGGTATCCTTGAACTTTTTACCCTTCTTTAAACTTATGTTATTGAAACTGTTTAGTACTCGTCTATCTGGTATTTCAGTATATAATGCTTTTGCAATTTATAAGGTTATAATCCTGGAAATTTCTCATCATTTCATCATAAAGTGAACTTTTGTAATGCTTCCAACTACCCTCTTTCCCATTGCTTTAAAATTTCTTGTTAACAATCCTCTGTCAAGTAATATTTCTTTATTGTATACCAAATTGTAATACATATAAGACATGGAACATATACTGATAGTTCTGAATCTAGTTATTGATTGGTGCTCTTTTTTTATGCTTGTTTTGGGATTATGAAAATGTTTCCGTGACCATATAGACACATCCCTTGTTCTATATGTGGAAAAAGCCGGTTCATTGGTTGTATAATGTCTCATTCAGATCGTATTACAAAACAGTTGTGGCGCGAGATCCTAATTTTCAACATACAAACCTCTAAAAATTTAATATAGGATAACGCCTAAGAAAAATAAGGTAGCTAGTAAATATTTGAGCTGTAATGTCTTGACAATATCAACAATTAACCACCCAAATTGTGTCCACCCTATGTTTTCGACTACTAGTAGTAACTAAAAAAACCAATTTTTTGAAAGATAAATACGTGTGCTGCTTCATAGGCACTTTCATTGCACTCCAGAGATTCAAACGAGATCCTAAGGTATCACACTATTGTTTAATAACTTATGAAACTCCCAACCGTCTTGCTCAAGGCACCTGTCAAAACGCTATGACATAGTATAAGTACATTTTTACGCATTGTTCTGAAGCACCTAAAATAACTGATAACTGTATGACGAGAAACACCAAGTATATTAATTAGTTCTCTCCTTTTGCAGTACATCCGTTATTGTCTTATTTATCAATCCGTTCATTTCACTTATTATCTTAATGTCTTTTTCTCTTATTTTAATTCTCTTAATTATTTAAGTTATAATATCTCTACCCATGCCATCTGGTCATTATTCTTCCAAATTCACTTTTTCAGTCTACAAATCACCGTCTATTTAAACGCAAATACCAGTTTCATCAACTCATCATCTTATTACAAGGTTACTATATACTTCAAAAATGATTTTTAGATACCAATCGTGGTCACTAACTACGCCCGTAGAACTTCCAGAGTTATCGCTGGTCCCAAGCCCGGGTAAACGGGAATGGTTGGGCATGGGGTCGACAACAGCATCTCGTAGAAAATGAAACAAATAATGTTTCTTTTAAGATTTCTAATGTTCATCTAAACTTATATGAAATAAACAACAACAGATGTATTGACAAACGTATTTGTACTGTATTCCTCAATGCAATAACATAACACAAAATGTTTGTCGATAATAACGTATAGAATATCAAGAATATTTTACACTTTTAATTATCTGACACTTGGTGGACTGTAAACATACCATATTAAACAACTAAATATTACCTGTTATTGTAAAGAAATGTATAATAACAATATTGACATTCAATGTTTTATAATAAACGTATTTTTTACGTTTTTCAGTTAAATAAACTTTCTTCATCTAAACAAAATATGTTTTTTATTTTAATTATAGACCCTGATATGACAGAGAGTGGAGAAAGTCAGCTCTCCTTCCCTCTCTCTCTTGAAATGCTCTCACATGACCACGAGTACACAGTCTTTGTCAGGGAAGCCCTACTCAATGCCTTCTCGCGGCATGATTATCGTTTACGGAATTGAGATTAAAAGCGAAAATCCATCGCTTTAACCGGGTTAGTGGATATGGAAGATCCACCTACGGGAGTTGGAAAACCCCCATTTCCAACCAATAGTGAGAACGGGCTCCAGGACCCTGAAGTAACAAATAGCGTATTAATCAATTATCGGTCATCGATTACCGTGGCACTGCATCCCCCAACGTTAATCCACTGCCTTGTGGATTAGACCTTTAGGTAGAAGGTTCCGGGTTCGGCTCCCTAAGAAAACCACCTGTTTGGGTCTGGGCACCCGTGCAGTATCACAGTCCACATACAAATCGAGTGACTTGTGTAGCGTATATATATCTTGCGCTTCTTTGTACTAATATTTATGTCTTCAAATAAATAGTAATTATAATAAATCATAAAGATGAGAAACGCTGGAAATAATCATTTACTCTGAACATTGTCATTAAAACATGAATTATATTCATAAGTATCATTATTATTGTCAGACTTCAAAAATTCAAACAAATTGAGTATATTCTGTTGAATTTTAGTCATATTTTATGGATAGCTCTATCCCTCTAAGTTATTAAAATTGTGTCATTTTAATTCGGTTATTTGTTTATTTGCATTAATAAAGTGGGTCACACTAAGTCACAAAATGTAAGAAATTCCAGTCTCTACTAGTTGGGATATCACTAATCTATGATGATTTTGCTTATACGTAATATTCCTAGGTAACCATATATGCAAGTTGTGGAAACTAAGTATATTTCTATAATCATTTATATCACAGATTGAAATAGACTGAAGAGCAGTTGGAAAACAGAGAACACTGATCAGGTTGATTTTCTTAGTTTAGAACATCTCTCGAGGTTCCTACAATTAAATCAGAAAACTGAATCTTTTTAACACAAAATCATCCATAAAATCGCTTTATAT